TTGTCATTTCCCTTGTTCTAAAGTGTGCTTTCCAAACGCGGTGTTTTCTGGTGGGTTCTTATTTGTCATTTCCCTTGTTCTAAAGTGTGCTTTCCAAACGCGGTGTTTTCTGGTGGGTTCTTATTTGTCATTTCCCTTGTTCTAAAGTGTGCTTTCCAACGCGGTGTTTTCTGGTGGGTTCTTATTTGTCATTTCCCTTGTTCTAAAGTGTGCTTTCCAACGCGGTGTTTTCTGGTGAGTTCTTATTTGTCATTTCCCTTGTTCTAAAGTGTGCTTTCCAAACGCGGTGTTTTCTGGTGGGTTCTTATTTGTCATTTCCCTTGTTCTAAAGTGTGCTTTCCAACGCGGTGTTTTCTGGTGAGTTCTTATTTGTCATTTCCCTTGTTCTAAAGTGTGCTTTCCAACGCGGTGTTTTCTGGTGGGTTCTTATTTGTCATTTCCCTTGTTCTAAAGTGTGCTTTCCAACGCGGTGTTTTCTGGTGAGTTCTTATTTGTCATTTCCCTTGTTCTAAAGTGTGCTTTCCAACGCGGTGTTTTCTGGTGGGTTCTTATTTGTCATTTCCCTTGTTCTAAAGTGTGCTTTCCAACGCGGCGTTTTCTGGTGAGTTCTTATTTGTCATTTCCCTTGTTCTAAAGTGTGCTTTCCAAACGCGGTGTTTTCTGGTGGGTTCTTATTTGTCATTTCCCTTGTTCTAAAGTGTGCTTTCCAAACGCGGTGTTTTCTGGTGGGTTCTTATTTGTCATTTCCCTTGTTCTAAAGTGTGCTTTCCAACGCGGTGTTTTCTGGTGAGTTCTTATTTGTCATTTCCCTTGTTCTAAAGTGTGCTTTCCAACGCGGTGTTTTCTGGTGGGTTCTTATTTGTCATTTCCCTTGTTCTAAAGTGTGCTTTCCAACGCGGCGTTTTCTGGTGAGTTCTTATTTGTCATTTCCCTTGTTCTAAAGTGTGCTTTCCAAACGCGGTGTTTTCTGGTGGGTTCTTATTTGTCATTTCCCTTGTTCTAAAGTGTGCTTTCCAAACGCGGTGTTTTCTGGTGGGTTCTTATTTGTCATTTCCCTTGTTCTAAAGTGTGCTTTCCAAACGCGGTGTTTTCTGGTGGGTTCTTATTTGTCATTTCCCTTGTTCTAAAGTGTGCTTTCCAAACGCGGTGTTTTCTGGTGGGTTCTTATTTGTCATTTCCCTTGCTCTAAAGTGTGCTTTCCAAACGCGGTGTTTTCTGGTGGGTTCTTATTTGTCATTTCCCTTGTTCTAAAGTGTGCTTTCCAAACGCGGTGTTTTCTGGTGGGTTCTTATTTGTCATTTCCCTTGTTCTAAAGTGTGCTTTCCAAACGCGGTGTTTTCTGGTGGGTTCTTATTTGTCATTTCCCTTGCTCTAAAGTGTGCTTTCCAAACGCGGTGTTTTCTGGTGAGTTCTTATTTGTCATTTCCCTTGTTCTAAAGTGTGCTTTCCAAACGCGGTGTTTTCTGGTGGGTTCTTATTTGTCATTTCCCTTGTTCTAAAGTGTGCTTTCCAAACGCGGTGTTTTCTGGTGGGTTCTTATTTGTCATTTCCCTTGCTCTAAAGTGTGCTTTCCAAACGCGGCGTTTTCTGGTGAGTTCTTATTTGTCATTTCCCTTGTTCTAAAGTGTGCTTTCCAACGCGGTGTTTTCTGGTGAGTTCTTATTTGTCATTTCGGCAAGGAATTGATGTCATTTAGGCATCAACTTTACTCCTGATTGCTGTTTAATCCTTGCACATTTTATCTGACCTCATCGCACACATGGAGAGCCTCACTTACAGACGACGCAGTAGGGCCTCCATCTCCTCTTTATCTGACCTCATCACATACATGGAAAGCCTCACTTACGGACGACGCAGTAGGGCCTCCATCTCTCTCTATCTGACCTCATCGCACACATGGAGAGCATCACTTACAGACGACGCAGTAGGGCCTCCATCTCTCTCTATCTGACCTCATCGCACACATGGAGAGCCTCACTTGCGGATGATGCAGTAGGGCCTCCATCTCTCTCTATCTGACCTCATCGCACACATGGAGAGCCTCACTTGCGGACGACGCAGTAGGGCCTCCATCTCTCTCTTTATCTGACCTCATCGCACACATGGAGAGCATCACTTGCGGACGACGCAGTAGGGCCTCCATCTCTCTCGTGCATGCTGGTCTCTTTTGTCTTCACCCTCATCAGTTGTTTAGTGTTGTCGCAGTGTACCTGAAGGAAATGATCTTTCTCTTTGAGTCTTTGAGTATCGAAAGAATCCAGTTTGGCCCTGGGTCATTCAATAATGGTCTTTAACCTCGGGCCAAATAACATACTATTGAAAATGTTTGTGAGTACAGGAAAGGAATGTAGAAAAATGTGCTGTTAGTAGGAAACAATGCCTTTGACAATTGAAAGAAAACAGTCAAAACTGTATAGTGGTAGAATTTATCTTTAAATGCTGTTATTTGGCTTTCCAATTTTAAAGATATTTAAAAACTCAGAGAATTAAATTCAACTAAAGAATTTTAAACTGGAGAGAAAACAAACATGAAGGTAAAATAGAAAAGATAAAATATGTACACAGAAGTCTAAATTTTAATTCCATGAGAGGGCAGAGTCAGAAACTAGTCTGTGACAGGAAATGTAAAGTGTAACCGCTTTCCATCAGGAGCATGGCACATGCCTTTACGGTTTTTGTTGGTTTGTTTTGTTGTTTTTTATTTTTATTCTATGTGCATTGGTGCTCTGCCCGTGTGTGTGTCTGTGTGAGGGTGTCAGATCTTAGAGGGTGTCAGATCTTAGAGGGTGTCAGACAGTTGTGAGCTGCCATGTAGGTGTTGGGAATCGAACCCGGGTCCTCTGGAAGAGCAGTCAGTGCTCTCAACCTCTGAGCCATCTCTCCAGCCCTAATTTAATGTTGTTGTTTTTTTTAAGTTATTTATTTTTATTTTATGTGTATTGGTGTTTGCCTGCATATCTGTGTGAGGGTGTCAGATCTTGGCGTTACAGACAGTTGTGAGCTGCCATGTGGGTGCTGGGAATTGAACCCAGGTCCTCTGGAAGAGCAGTCAGTGCTCTTAACCACTGAGCCATCTCTCTAGCTCCGCCTTTAGGTTTTTAGAGATGCTCCCCTACTTACTTTTCTTTTGATTTGGGTTGGATGTTTTTTTCTTCAGAAGCTCCACATATTTTATATTGATAACACCCCTTCTCCCTCTGGCTTCAGTCCCTCCCCCACCCCAGCTACAGCGTAGGTGACTTTAGTGGGTGTCTGTTCATTCCTATAGACTGTAGACATTTTTACTGAGCACCAGATGTGTGGTTTATGTTCAGGTGCAGCTTCTGCACTCTGCTTTCTTTTTTCTTATGTGTTAATATGACTTATGTGCACCAGGGCTAGCTCTTTATAATGTGAAAGAATCCAGAGTTCACAAAAAGAAAATTCTTAGTTTTTCTTTGAGTAAAGACATCTGAGGAGATGATGTATAATTTATGAAGTAGCCTGTTAGGCATATATTTCGTGGTATCTCTCATGTTGGAATCTATACATATTGATGTAGAGGCAGGGGAAAGTCATGGTTGTGCATAAATGTTTGCAGACTTTTATATAAATATCACGACATTATTTCTAATGGTTCATACTAACTCATAATGATTCACTGATAAACAGAACTTAACATCAACTCCTATAGACCTCTTATAGCTATAGAATACTGATTGTCAATAAAAAAAAGTATGCTTGTGCAATAGCATAGGCAAATCTGAAAAATATGTGCTAGGTGAAAATAAGCCACATATAAATGGCGTATTTTATAATGCTTGCTAGAATTGGTAAAAATACAATGATAGGAAATGTCAGTGTTTCCCTAGGGATAATGGGGGCCTTTTAGGATGACGGTTTAGGTAGGTAGGGAGGTAGATAAGCAGGGAGATAGACAGACAAGTGAACAGAGGATCAAACCCCGGCCTTGTGCGTGGCAGACAGGTGCTGCGTTACTGAACTACATTCCCACCCCTCAGTCATTTGAGATGGTCTTTCTGTGCAGTTCAGGCTGGTGCAGAAGCCCCAGCCCTCCTGTGCCCACTTCCCCAATGTTGATATAGGTATGCGCTACCAAGCCAGTTCTGTGGTGTAATTAGGAGTCCTCTATGTGGTACCACATAACTATCACACTTAATGCTGGAAATAGGCTGTTCGGTGTATGTTAATTATACTCCATTAAAAATGCAGATGTTAAGGAAAGAAAAACATAGAGACAAGCTAAAAGAAGTCACTGGCATTTTATCACCTGGATTGTGCAGATTTTTAAATCACTACTAGGATTATTGAATCAATTATAAATATTTAAAACTTGAGACTTACCTATATGTGACCTAGAATTAATATCTTGATTCATAAGAGTCAAACTAGATTGAATAATGAAGCAGTGTGGGGGACCAGCCCCCACATTTATTTACCCCAGGGACTCTTGAGGAATGAGAGATAAGGGACTTAGTTATAAATAAAGGAGAGACAAACAGAAAACACAGGATAGACTTTGGAGGGCCTGGATCCTTATCCACCGGCCCCGAACTTTATTCCAAAGGTCTATTTATAGCAATGCCAAGGGGTGGAGCAAAAGACCTCCCCCTTGCTAGATACAGTCACCTGGTACCCAGGCCCATGGTCCAATCAACCTCTCATGCAGTCCTGCTGGGTACAGCCACTAGGAAACCTAGTGGGCTCCAACAAAGCAGTATTTTCTTGGCTATCAGACATGTTGGGATATTTTTCATTTGACTTTCCTAAACAAATACCTATGTATGCCTTTTGAAAAGACTCATAAGATTGGGAATATGAATGAAGTAATGTTTTAGTTATGAGGTGATGAATACGTGTTATCACACATGAATTACGACTGAAGTATTTTAAATATTTCTCCTGGAGAAATGTGAATTTCCCAAATATACTTTGTTTTGAATTGGTCGTATTGGTTTTGTGAAATTTAATAATACTTTTTTTTTTTTTTTTTTTTTTAGGAAACTCACTCTCCGCAATATTAGAGGGAGAAGCCCGGTTAACCTTCTTGAATCGAGGTGAAGATTATGTGATGACAATGCCCTATGCTCATTGTAAAGGTGAGTCTTTTCCACTTACAGCAGCTCTTTCTGGGTTTTTGGGTTTGTTTTGTTTTGTTTTGGTTTGTAAGTAAATGTATGTGAATAGAATTTGTTTTGTTTGAGATAGTCAGACAAATTTTTTGAAAACCTTGGTTGGCCCATAGTTACTTCAGAGTATTGCTGTTTGCTGACTATTTCTATGGTGAATTAATTCACACATAATAGTCACACCTATTTTTGTGATATATACCTTGTAAGAAATTTAGTTATAATAATGGAATTTCCTTGCGTTTATCTTGTGTGAAAGTTTTGAAATTAAATGAAACTACTTATTTCAGAATCCTTAAAAGATAATTTTACATACTCTTGCATTATACCCTCTATAATGTTTAATCTGCTCTTTTTCTCTTTTTTAATAATTTATTTTTATTTTATGTTCATTGGTGTTTTGACTGTGTGTATGCCTGTGTCAGAAGCCCTGAAATTGGAGTTACAGACAAGTGTGAGCTGCCATGTGGTTGCTGGGAATTGAACCCAGGTCCTCTAGAAGAGCAGTCAGTGCTCTTCACCGCTGAGCCATCTCTCCAGCTCCATCTGCTATTTTTCAGTGCATCAAGTCCTTTCAGTGTTTTCCTTCACTCTCATTTGACAGTCTCTCCATTTAGGTTTTGGTTTCGTTGATCTATAACCTTGCAGTATAGCTCAGGCTGCCCTTGAACTCAAGATCCTCCTGCCTCAGTCTCCCTAGTGTTGAGATCACTGATATGTATTGGAACACCTAGCTTATATTTGGCAAAAAGCTAGATAGTGCTCTGAGCTTTGTATGTAGTTCTTAAAACAGGAATAAAGTGCAATATCTACAATTTTAAGTGAATAAGAATCAGTTTTTAATGTTTTTATTGATTCTTTGTGGATTTCACGTCATACATCCTGACCCCACTCACTTCCCTGTCCCCTTGCTTCCATCCTCTGCCCTTGCAACACCCCCCAAACAAAATTTAAAAGTAAAAACAAAAAAACAACACCAAAACCAAATAAAGACTCTCGTTCTAGAAGCTGCAGTGTGGCCCAGTGAGTCACACAGTTCACCCTTAGTCCATCCGTCTTTACTTGTGTTGTTGCTATGAGTCAGTGGTCTGCTTTGAGGCCTCTGGATCTGTCGCACCCTTGATCCTGGGCCCTCACTGGGAATCCTCTGGGACATCCTGTTGTTGCTGTGTCATGGAGATCCTATGGCTTTGGATCTGCAGGACCAACACCTTCACATGCTTCAGCAGCTCATAGACGAGGTGGGGGTTGGGGTGGGCTATCTCATAACCCTGGCTCTGGGCCTGGGTGGTAGCTGGACTGGTTAGCCCGCTGGCTTTCCCTCATCATCACCACCAGCACTGCCCTGGCTAGCTCACCCAATATAGCAGCCAGCAAGGAGTGGGGCAGTTCTCCTGCTCACCCCCTCAGGTCCAGCTCACCTGCACGCACACCACCAAGGCCAGTTCTGTTTTGCCGGGACTAGGTGCAGGGCCCGCTCTCCGGATTGCTTCACTTGGTGAGGGGCAGGCCAGTGTTAAGTATTATAGTATTAAGGCCACTCCACGTAGTTAAAAGGGAGGTTTATTTTGTGGGGTAACTTACAAGTAAAGGGATAGTTTACAGGGTCTGGGAAAGGTGAGGTGCAGTCCAGCAGTGTTCTCTGGAGAACTCTGCTTGGTCTACCTCCAGCATCCAGGATCCAGGAACCAAGAGAACTGGCACATCCAGATCTTGGGTCTTCAGGGTCCTCTCTCAGCCCTGCCTTGTAGGCATGACGGTTACTGGAGCCTCAGTGGGGGTTGTACTTCCAGGTCAAAGCTGGACCGGCTACCCACTACAGGCCCGCTCTTCTGTTTTCATGCCCGTGAGGTCAGCTCTACCTCCTGTCACACCTTGCCATCCCAGGGCATATGAGGGAGAGGACGGGGGCAGCTCTCCTGCGCCCCTGCCAACAGGGTCAGCTCTGGTGTGCTGCCCAGGTGACGTGCCATGCCCACTCTCCCGTGTGCTGCAGATGGTGAGGGGCAGGGCCAGCTCTCCCACTCTTGTGCTCTAGGGACCAGCTTTTTCTGCCTGCAGTAGGTGTGAGGTGTGAGGGGTGGGGGAGTGTCTCTCCCTTGCCCACACCACCCCATGACAGGCCGTGGGGCTAGCTCTCCCACTCTTTTGTCTTCAGGTCGGCTCACTCACAGTGCTACCATTAGGGACAGCTCTGCTCTGCTGCCTGGGGAGGTATAGGGCCTGCTCCCCAGAGTGGTGCAGGTGGTGATGGGCAGCATTTTTAAATTTTATGTCATTTATTACATCCGTGCCCAACTAGCAATGAGGAATTTTTTTTCCACAGTAGTGTATTTCCCAGAGTGTTGAAAAAAATGAGATTAAAGAATAGGGAATTTTTTAAAGTAAGAGTTCCTATGTGTTTTCTATATTGCTAAGTTCTATGAATTATTTTATAAAGTAGGAGTTCCATAGCCAAATAATTATGAGAAACACTTCATAGTCTGTTTCCTCGCAGAAGTTAACATTGTGTGTTTATCTATTAAAGGCCAACTCGGTTGTCTAATTCAATAAAACATGCACTTGAACAAACCTGTTCAAGTCTCTTTAACTTAGAATGTGTTTTGAACACAGAACCTGTTTTTGAGGTTGTTTTTTGTTTGTTTGTTTGCTTACCTGGAGTTGGGCCGTGTTATTTGTAGTAATTATGTTGTATAAAGTGACAACAGATGCTGAGTTGGCTCATACAAAACCGTACTTTCAAGGGAAGATAATGAGGCTACATTATTTTGAGTCTCTTACTACAGTGTTCCCACCAACTAATGGGCACATAACCTTGTATTGTGTGTGCTCACATGGAAAGACATTGAATAGTCGTTGTGTGTTACTGACTTACTGCCGTTCAACTCTCGGCAAACACTGTCCCTCAGCTGAATGAAGCGTTAGCATGGGTTCCCGTGGAAGGTCCAGCATAGCTTTAGAACACTGTGCCACAGCACTTCAGTGTGCCCTGGGTCAGCTTCCAACAGCAAAAGCATCAACAAAAAAGCACACAGGTACAAAACACATGAACAAAATATCCTGCCAAAGAAGGTCTGTTCTCCCCCCACCCCCGTCCCCGGAGCTGAGGACCGACCCCAGGACAGTTGGTGGTTTGGTTTTCCCCCCAGTACAGGCATTGAAGCAACACGGTGGGCCTAGTTCTCTCTCAGCATCTGCTTACTCCCAAGCATGTCCATGAATTGCCACAGAGCACAGTGGGCATCGGTTTGAGGATTACCTGTGTAGTTAGAGTGTTTATTACATTTACTTACTGTGTTTATGTGGGTCAGAGTGTAACCTGTGGGGGTAGGATCTTCCCTTCCACCAGGTAGATCCCAAGAGTCCAGCTCAAATCCTAAGGTATGGCAGGAAATGCTTTTGCGTGCTGACTCATCTCATTGGCCCGCCTCTGCACTTTAAATAGAGTGTAAACTTGCCAACATGCATGATGTGAATATGCTCTTGTGGGTCCTATAACACTTTGTCTATATTACACGTGTTTTGTTGATAAGGCAGGAGGCCTCAGATCACAGATTTCTCCTGGTATATCAAATTGCAGAGCGCTGCTTATTTCTGTCACCGGCCCCCTGTCCTCAGCTTTCGTCAAGTTTCTCTTTTCAAATTTAGGTATTCTCTATGGCACAATGACGCTGGAGCTTGGGGGAACTGTCAACATCACCTGTCAGAAGACTGGATACAGTGCAGTACTTGAATTTAAGCTAAAGGTTGGTAAATGATGGTGTCACCTAACTAAGGGGAAGCTGTGTTGTAAATACTGAAGAAAAAATACAGATTAGTTGTGGAGTAAGAACTAAATATAAAAACATGGCTTTTGCCAGGTCAAAGAGAAACGGGTCCAGAGACATTCTCGGTGTCTTGGTGCAGCCTGAGACAGCCTTAGAAGACACAAATTAGCATGAAAGCCACCATTCCTTTTTTAAAATGTTAATGCTAAAACTTGGTGCTATAGAGGAAATAAGACTTAAGAAATGATTGAAGTATCTCTGTGAATTAAAACAGTGCTTTAGAAAGCCCCAGAAGGTAGATATGAATTGAGAGACTCTGGTTGCATACAGTAAGACAATTTCATAATTAGTTACTATTTTAATTAGTAAGTAATTAGTTACTATTTATGTATAAAAAATTATTTCTGTATAAAAATTATTTTAACTCACATGCTTAAGAATAACTCCTCATCAGATGTTAATGCAAAAAAATGTATGGAAATATTGGAGATGGTTTTTCTCTTGAAAAAGGTTGGACAATTTTTCTCCTGAAAAATATGAGTGATTTAGTTGAGACCAGAATCCACTAAAGACTTGCCCACTTATGAGTCTGCTGCCTGAAAGGCCAGGACTGTTGCTCCTGTGAGGACCTGTTGATGTGGCCTTTCCATGTGACTTGGCTTCTCGATGGCATGGCAGCTCTAAGGCAGCTGGAGGTCTTCTTTAGCAGCACCATCTCGGCAGCACGCTGAGGATTCAGTTGTCTCCCATCAACACTAGCCTAGAAGCCAAATTACAGCACATCCTATGTCTTCATTGAAGAGCTACACACCCCCACTCAGGCTTGGGAGGAGGGATGGTGACGCACTTCTCGGTGGGAGGCTGGCCAAGGTCTCCTTGAAGAAGAGCATGGGGGCTGGAGAGGAAGTGAGTAGGTTTCAAGAGAAGCCATCTTTGGAAAATTCTGTCTGCTTCAACAAAAGGGAAATCTGAAGCCTCGTCACCAGTCAGTTATCATTTAGTGCGTTGTGTTCAGATAAAAATAGGGACTATAAATGATAGGTGTTGCTAATTACTTCCTTGTTGATATCCCACTGACCAGAATCTCTTTTCTAGTGAAAAGGCGTTCTTAAGTATTATCTGATGCCGTGCCCTTTGCTTGATAAAAGTGGTCTTAAACAGTTACTCATGTCATTAAGTACCAAAGCATCAAAACTGTGTCTCTAAGGAAAGACATTAGTATGACAGTGTAGGGACACAAAGTGTGTTCCTTGTGATTTTAGTTTTTGAAGGATTGTTTTCAAATTTTTAAATCCCCTCTGTTTTCTGAGTTCTTTTTCTTGGTGTGTCGCCACATTGATGGGGCTCAGTCCTGAAGAACAGCACTCAGATTGCACAGGTCATAGGTCTTTATACCTGGGTCATCTTTCTGAATTATTTAGATTTCATAGTCTGTTTTAGCTATATTTTTCATAGTCAGAATTCAAATTAATTTTTTAAAAAGTCTCTAATTTAAATTTGAGTCAGGATTTCACTGTTTTTACTTTCAAGAATATGGTAACTATTTAATTCTTTTTTCTTTGATGTTTGGTTATCTATAATATATGCAAATATAAGCTAAAATGCTCAATATTTTCTGTTTTAAAGCCATTTCTAGGAAGTAGTGATTATGTTAACCAAATATCAGGGAAACTTAAATTGGGAAAAGAAGTCCTAGCTACTTTGGAAGGCCATTGGGTAAGTACTTTTATATATTAGTATTACAAAAATAATTTTATCTGATGGAGAAAATGGACAATTTTATTGTAAAAGTATCACTAAATAGACTCCATCTTAAAAACAGATATTTTGGGGGCTAGAGAGATGGGTCAGCGGTTAAGAGCACTGGCTGCTCTTCCAGAGGTCCTGAGTTCAATTCCCAGCAACCACATGGTGGCTCACAACCATCCGTAATGAGATGTGGTGCCCTCTTCTGGCATGCAGGCAGACATGCAGACAGAACACTGTACACATAATAAATAAATAAATATGTTTTTTAAAAAGCAGATATTTTGGTATTGCTCTGCTGCCAATGACACTTTGTTTTATAAACGTTTTATGTTTCTAAGACTTTTAAATGAGTAGAAGTCACAATCGTATGGTACTTGCTGTTACATTATTAAGAGTATAGCTCATATTTATCATTTACTACTTAGTTGGACTTGATGAAATCGGTACATAGATACCTGTTTTTTATCTTATATGTTTTTTTAATCTGTGTGTGTGTGCATGTGCCATGACACACATGTGGAAGACAGAGGACAGCTTACTGGAGCCAGTGCTCCCGTTCTACCGTGAGGGTTCCAGGAGTCAGGTGCAGGCCATCAGAGCTGGTAGCAGGTACCTTCGCTAGCTGTACTGTCGTGCTGACACATACGTAAGATGTGCCCATTTGAAAAGGAAGGAAGCTAACAGCCAGAGTATCTGGGTAGTTGGCAGTGAGCCCTAGGCCTCCGGCTGCGCAGAGCTCTGCTGGTCCAGTTAGAGTCGGGTTTCTGTTGGAGGAAGGTGGGAAGGTGCAGTGGTGTATAACAGCAATGGCTTTGACCTCATCTCTGCCAACCTGGGTTCACATCTGTGTACGTTCTTACAAGGAGCTTACGTGACTGAGACGGATCATGGTATATTTCTTATGCATTTTCACTATAAACACTGAGTATATGCTGTTCTGCATACAGTAATCAAATACAGGAAGAAAAGGAAGCCAGGTTTAGAGACTCAGCCAGTGGCTACATAGCTTCCGCAAAATGTTTTTTAAATTTGTGTGAGTGTGTTGTTTGGGGGGGGGGGTGAGTGAGAATATTGTGTGTGAGTGTGTATGTGTGAGAGAGTGTTGTGTATGTGTGTGTGAGAGAGAGAGTGTGTGGTGTGTGTGTGTGTGTGTGTGTGTGTGTGTGTGTGTGTGTGTGTGTGTGTGTGTATGTGTGTGTTCTCTCCTTTCACTGTGTGGGTCTCAGGAATAGGTCATCAGTATGGTTGCAATTGCTTTACCCATAGAGTCCTCTCCCTGGTCCCTGAAAGATGTTGACTTCCTATCTGAATATTATTTGGAACAATGAAAAAGCCATCTTTGTCATTTTATTTTATTTTGAGACAGGGTCTCTTATGTTGCAGCCCTGGCTGGCCTCAAACTCACAGAGATCTATCTGCCTCTGCCTCCTGGGTGCTGGGATAAAAGGCATGTGCCACCATACCTGGAAAAACAGATGTTCTAAAAACATCAAATGTCTAAGATTGAGTTCAATTTTTAATGCTAAGTCTCCAAAGTTTTTCAATGATTTGATTTTTCTGCCTTGTCCACAGCATCACACCATGATCTTCTGTGACAGTTCAGACAGGAAGCTTGAGACTTTGCCCGTCATGTTTGAAATTTGTTAAATGAAACTTCTAAAACCTCAGGAGCTTTCTATGTAGTCAGCTGGTTTTTCAATTGATTGGAATGACATATTTAAACTACTGTTTTCATACAAATGGAAAGAATTTGGGACTTTGAGAAGCGCACTAGTTACATTTGTTTTAAAATATTTTTCAAATTTAACAGCAGAAAGAATTTATTAGTGTATTGCTGTACTTTGTAGTCCTCTTCTAAATAGAAATAACTATATTGATGTTTAATTCCTTTCGATATAGGATAGTGAAGTTTTCATTAATGACAAAAAGACTGATAACTCAGAGATTTTCTGGAATCCAACACCTGACATTAAGCAGTGGCGATTAATAAGGCACACGGTAAAATTTGAAGAACAGGATGATTTTGAATCAGAGAAGTAAGTCTGCCTTCTTTTTTTTAGCTAACCTTATGAACATTAAGGAGTATTTCAAATTGCATAATAGTGTAGTCACACTATTCTCTATCTGCTGTTGAGTTAATTCAGCGAGAGAGTTTGTCATTTGTGAGATTGAGAGCATTCTGTAGCATTGGTGTAGGTGACATAAAGACTTCACGAATCATCTTGTTTCTCTGCAGCTCAAAACTAAAATGTCCTGTTTTTCTCTCTTCTACTCCAGTGCTCTAGATTTCTGTTTGCATAAAGTTATAGAACAATTCATGTTCTCAGTTTCTCCCTGGCATCTGCTTTCTGGTCTGGTGTACACTGTGGAAAGTGACATGGAGAGAAAACAGCTACTCTTGTTCTGTCCTCTGAGACAAGAATAGTGCGACTTGATGCCCTGGTTTCCAAGGACTTAAATTAGTAGGCAGTGCCATGGTTAATGCCATTGCTTCTGTTTTTAAGTCATGAAACTCTTTCTAGAACTCCTAACACTTTTGGATAAACTTGCTGTTTGTATCTCTTTGTGTCAAAGAGTCCTGTATAAACATTGCTTACTACCCACTTGATACCTGGGAGTCCTTACTCTGTGGTCCTGCTTCTGTGAATCAAGTCTACATGACTATTTTCTACATAAAATACAGGTTGTCAGCATTGGAAAATATGTATGCATCAATTTTTCAAGTCCTGTTTCAGATGTAACCATACGATGCTCCCTGTCCAAAGGGATATGCAGCCATTTTTGATGTATGTATATAATTGAACACTTTTTGTTTTTTTAAAATGGAATTTCATGCAGAGAAAAGTGGCCTTGAATTTGCTGTATAGCTGAGATTGACCTTAAACTATTATTACTGATCCTCTTGCCCCTACTTCCCAGTACTGGGACCATAGGCGTCCTCTACCCAGTCCAGCTCTACATATTTTAAGGACGAGGTAATAAGACTTAGAAAAGGAAACTTTTTCATCAGCTAAGTGGAAGACATAGAAAATTAACCTATGTATAACAAATTTCAAGGCCTGTTTCAGTTCTGACATGTTGCCCTCTCAGATGGATGAGATACAGATGTTGTACTCTCATTTAGCTGGTGAAAAAGCTAAATTTTAAAGGGGAAATAATTTTTCTTATGCTGTTTTTTGGTACATCAGTGGTTCTTAGCAGTATTAGTGTATTGAAATCTAGGAAGCATTTAGAGTCTGTTCCTATTCCTAGAGACTGAATTTCAAAGTTCTCTGATAATTCATGCAGCCAAGCTCTCTGGCCTGTGACTCCTAAGTAGTGTGCGTCAGAATCATCTAAAGAGCCATTTAAAAATGTAGAGTACTTTGAGGACTTCTTCACTACAGTCCTGTCAGCCTCAGTCAGCAGTTTTCACTGTTTAAGAATCCATAGGATTGATTTCTCTTGCCAAGAAGAAATTAGCCCTCACTTAGTGATGGTTGCCGGTTCGAGGCATTGGGCTTGGTTTCTTGACTCATTTCTAAGCATATGAGCATAAGCGTGGTCAAAGGTAGACATCCACGTGAGCAGTGTTTGCTCCCAACAGAGACTAAAATCTGTAGAGATATGATTTTCTGAAATATTATTTTTACATGTCTATTAGACTCTGGCAGCGGGTAACAAGAGCCATAAATGCCAAAGACCAAACAGAAGCTACTCAAGAAAAGTATGTTTTGGAAGAAGCTCAAAGACAAGCTGCCAGAGATCGGAAAACAAAAAATGAAGAGTGGGCTTGTAAGTTATTTGAACTTGATCCACTCACAGGAGAATGGCACTATAAGTTTTCAGAGTAAGTAATGTAAACGTTTATTTCAAAAAATATATTAGCATAATTTATTGCCTTTATATTTCGAGTATATTTATTATCAACATAGGAATTAGGGTGAACTTTTATTTTACAGACTTTTAAAGTTTATGTGTGTGTGTGTATGCCAGCTTTTTTGAGTTTATGAATACCATGTGCGTGTAGGAACCCATGAAAGTCAGAAAAGGGTATCAGGCCCTGGAACTGGAGAAATGGATGGTTGTGATCCACTGTGTGGGTGTTGGGACCCGAACTCTGGTTCTCTGCAAGAGCAGTAGGTGCTCTTAACCACTAAGCTACCTCTTCAGCCCATAGTGTAAATTTTTATTTTTATTTATTCTTTTATTTATTTATTTGAGACAGGGTCTCACTATGTAGCTCTAGCTGTCCTGGAACTTGCTATATAGAGACCAGGCTGGCCTCGAACTTAGAGTTCCACCCACCTCTGCCCAGTGCTGAGATTAAAGGCGTGCACCATTATGCCTGGCTTCATAGTGTGGAATTTTAAACTACTTTACATTCTGTCATAGTAGTTAGTTTTCCAAATAAGCTAAGAATCACAAGACTAGATATAGACAAATCTTAAGATTAGAAGAGCCTTTATAATTACTTAATGAAATTAAGTTCTGTAGCTATTTCAATATCTTTTTTCTATTTAGTACCCGACCATGGGACCCACTTAATGATATGATACAATTTGAAAAGGATGGTGTTATCCAGACCAAAGTGAAACATCGCACTCCAATGGTATGTAACACAAAAGTAGGTAGGTCTGATGGGCTATGAATTTCCTTTGTCTTTTTCGTCTTTCTTTTTTCCTTTTTTGTTTTGTTTTGTTTCGTTTTTGTTTTTGTTTTTCGAGACAGGGTTTCTCTGTGTAGCTTTGGAGCCTGTCCTAGAACTCACTCTGTAGACCAACCTGGCCTCAAACTCACAGAGATCCACCTGCCTCTGCCTCCTAAGTGCTGGGATTAAAGGCGTGCACCACCACCACCTGAATCAAATCTGCTAAATCTTTAGTATCATGACAGTTACATCTGAAATTTAAAAATTTAGGTTAGTAAAGTGACATCACAGGTAACTTCAAGCTCTTGACACCCCAAACACCAAAAAAAAAAAAAAAAGCAGAATCTACCAGAACTCTCCAAATATTGAAACATTTGCAGCAATTAAGGAAGTGAAGGACTGACCAGAAGGGGCTTCCAAGCAGCAGGAAGACATCATTATGGTATTGTAGAAGTCCTTGCCTCGCCTCTTCCTCGGCACAGCTGCAGTCTTGTGAGGTCTGTGTTCCAGTGTAAGTCCCTGATGCCAGAAGGAACAGCAGACCTCACACGCGCTCACATGCATGCACATTCGAGGGCACACACACAGGCACGTGCACATCCCCCCACCTCTCGGAGTACCTAGAGGGCAAATGTGGAGGCAGTCATTTCTGAGAGTGTCAGCAACAAGAAATTATACAAAATATGAGAGCTGAAAAGTACAGAAATGGGAAGACTGTGCTAGAGAGTCTAACAACAGATTTAAGTAGGTACAAGAGAGAATCAGTTACGTAAGAGATAAAACTATTCAAATTATCCAGTATGAGAAAGAGAGGGAACAAATGGAAGAAAAGTAAACAGACCCTGAGAGACCCGCAGGAGCACCCTCTGGTGGGTTGTGTGAATTATGGAGTCTACAAGATCAGGGACAGAAATGGATGAAACATGCTTAATTAAAGGCTCCAGATGCCAGACAACACTGATGAATGACTCTGGCAGCATTGCAGGGTATAAAATGGACACACATATAACATTTGTGTGTCTATATAGTGAGGAATTGCAAAAGGAAATTAAGAAAGCAGTTCAGTTTATAGTAGCATTCAGAAGAGTAAAATCCCGACAGTAAATGAAACTAAGATGTGGAAGGCTTGTGCAGTGAACACTGTAAAGCATTGCTAAAGAACTTCAGTAAGACAGGAATAAGTGAAAAGATTGCCTGTTTTCTTAGGCTAGAAGAGTTCATGTTGGTGCCCCAAAATAGTGCTACCCCAAAACCATCTGTAGAAGTGGAAGAGCTGATCCCCAAATACATATGGAATTGTGAGGGTCCCTGCATAGATAAAACAATCTCTTTGTTTGTTTGTTTGTTTTACAGCAAAGTTGTAAGACATATTTTCCACATCAAAGTTTATCCCAAAGCCACCGTAATCAAAGCAGTCATTTTGATATAAAGACAGGCTTCGTATATAGGCCAGTGGCATAAAATGAGTCCAGTTTAAGCCCATAAAAGTTATGTGTGAGGGGCTGGACAAATGGCTCAGTAGTGAAGAACATTTAGTATTTTCCCGGAAGACCTGGGTTCCATTCCAAGCACCCACATGGCTGCTCCAACCATCTACAATTCTAGTTCCAGGGCTCTGCACTCTGTTCTGGCTGCCTCAGGTATTGCATGTATGTGTGGAGACACCCTCAAGTAAACACTCATACACATAAAATAAGTTTTCAAAAAAAGTTTGAAAATTATTGTAGACAATTATTTCTCCCACTCCTTGGAAAAATATTAGTCTCTTGAACAAATGGTACCGAGCCATAGCCACCTGACTTCTACTGTACAGAAAGTAACTTAGAATGGATCTATGTATAAAATGAGAGGTAAGACTGTAAAATTCTTAGAAAACAGTGTAAGTCATCATGACCTTGTCTTTGGAAATAGATTCTTAATAAGACACTAAAAGCACTAATAGCAATAGCAACCAGAAAGTTAAACTATGGGCGATCGAGAGCTGGCCCAGCAGTTAAAAACACTTGCTGCTCTTGTAGAGGACCAACTCTCAATTGTCCATAACTCCCACTTCAGGGGCTCTCATGCCCCCATGTGGCCTCTACCAGCACCAGGCACACGTGTGGTCCATATATAGTTTCAGGAAAGCACCCACACACAAGTAAACAAACAAATAAGTAAATCTTACTTAAACATTTTTAAACATCAGATGATGCCATGAAGAAGGCAAAAAGACAAGTTACAGAATGAAAGAAACTATTTGCTAATCATTTATCTAACAACGTTTAAATATCCAAAATATTTAAAGAATCCCTGACTTAATGAAAGACATCCTGGTTTAAAAAAAAAAAAAAGGCAAATGACTAGATTAAACATTTCTCCAAAGAAGATACACAAATGGCCAAAACCACATAAAAATGTTAATATTAGTATATGAACTGCAACTCAAAATCACAATTAGTTTGTCTCTTCCCACTTAATTTGTGATAAAAAATTAAAATAGGAAATAAAGTGTTGGTGAAGATCGGGGAAACCAGAGCCCAGTGCGTTGTTGATGGGATGTAAAACTGCAGCCAGGGGGAATCACAGTTTAGACGGTCCTAAGAGAGTATCGAACACAAAATGACCACGTGACCCAGCTCTTCTGTTCCAAAAGAGGTGAAAATCAGAAGTGGAAATATGATGTGACAGTATTCATTGCAGGATATTCACAGTGGCCGGGGGAGAGCAGCAGGGCAGGATCCTTTGGCGGATAGGTGCGTAAACAAAGCAGTCTGTCCATAGAAGGGGATGTTAATAAAATAAACATGTTATGAAATACTCCACTCCATGCTTCCACACGGACAAACTCTGAAGGACAAATGTTCTACAGTTTCCAAGCAGGCAAATTCCCAGAGTCAGAAAGTAGATTACAGGCTCCCAGTGACCTGAGGAAGAAGAGGGTGGACAGTTACAGAATCTTGAAGATGGCTATAGTCAACATTGAGATGATTACTGCTAGCAGGTTGTATGTAGTAGTTTTAAAATGGCAGAACTCTATCATATATACGTGCTATCACAATTTTAAATTGCAAACTTGGTTTGGATTTATTTTTTCAGACAGGGTCTCACTATGTAGTCCTGGTTAGCCTGGATTTCACTGTGTAGACCATGCTGTTCTCAAACGCAGAAACTTACCTGCCTCTGCCTCTCCTGAGATTGGGGTGTAAAATGTTTTTAGATCATGTCCCACTGATAAGGTGGAGACACATGAGACGTGCACTTCCTTCTAAATAGACTACAGATCACAGTGAGTCTTCATACTTCTGTATGTATGAAGTCTGTATACCAGTCAGGAATGGGAAGGAAATTACTTCATACATTTCTTCTTTTTAGTCTTTGTGTCCAGTTGAAATCCACTAAGACAGTGGAATGCTAAGTGCAGTGTGTCTTACTTGTTAAATTTTGTCAGATTGTGCTTTGATTCCCAAACATCACATCCATCAGTGGTTTTGACAGTTGTACAGGTGGTTTAGTTACAGGATATAATGCAAACTCACCTAATAGCAATAAGATTTATTTCAGGTTAGTGTTCCAAAAATGAAGCATAAACCAACAAGGCAACAGAAGAAAGTGACGAAAGGCTATTCTTCCCCAGAGCCCGACCTCCAGGACTCATCTGGAAGTGAAGGTAAAGATATTTATCACAGACCGTTGACTGTGAACACATTTTAAAGAAATCTTTTACTGTGCTGTTAGGTATGTGTAAGTGGTTTTCAGATTAACTCAAGAATGTGAGCGTTTGTATGGAGACAGGAGGTGGGTGTGATGCTGTTTCGGACCCTAGATGAGCTGACCCTGAGATAAAGGCATGGGAATGAAGAAGGGTGGGATGCAGAGAAAAAAACGCCACAGTAGCAACCCTTTGGCTTTTCCGTGAAAACCTGTTGATTAAATTCAAGAAGCAGATTTGAAGTTTTGAGTCAGTTCGTGTTTCAAAAGAGTTTCTCATTCCTAAATTAACTAGTAGTGTTTGGAAGATGCAGACAAGTGAGAATATAAATATGTAAACTCATGAACTACTAGATTAAATAGTGTCTTGACCAAGTCAGATACTGTGTGAACTGTCTCAAACTATATTGAGATACAATTAAGAAGGGATTAAGGTAACATCTTAGACACTGTAGGAAACTGAAAAAGTAATTTTTAAAAATCTCCTTAAACTCAGTCTATGAGTTTATACTAAACTAGGGAGCCTAATTTACCTACAGAGGCAACACTAGAGTAATAAATAGTAAATATAAGGACATAGATGATAAGTGATGACGGACTTAAAAGAAAGGGGCTCAGTGTGGGTTGGGGAAGGTTCTTGGACGATCCCTGATGAGTTACTAGACTGTCCAGTGACTTGCTACCCCAGGCCTGGGACATACCTGGGATAGCATCCTGAACTAAGCTGGCAGTACAGGGATGTGGGTGATAGCAGAAAGAGAATGCTACAGTGTTACTGTTATTTTACAACAGAGGAGACCCAACAGGAACTCTGAACCTTGGAACTCATTAGCCTGCACAAGGTCACAGAGCTCGTAGGATAGGTATGTGGAGTGGTACCTGATGTAGAGATATTTTTAGTTCTTTCATTGGCTTTCTTTTCAATACCCTGTATTTCCTGTAATGTGTCTGCTGCTGTTTATTGACCACTTGATGCCTAACAGTTGTGTGGACTTGGGGCAATCCTATTAACCTTAGTTGAAGAAGAGAAACCTGGAGAGAGAAATGTGAGCACAGTTGGAAAGGGAATGAAGTTAACAGTAGCACGAGTTAAAGGTGCTCGCAGAGCTGAGTTCTTCAGATCTGTGCCAGCGGCTAGGGGGAGAAGAGACTTTTATTTTCCCAAAATTAATACAGATTTTAAATGAATTCTTTTTGCTTGTTTTAATGAATTAAAAAAAAAAAACTGATTCGGGCTGGAGAGGTGCTTCAGAGGTTAAGAGCACTGGGTACTCTTCCAGAGGTCCTGAGTTCAATTCCCAGCAACCACATGGTGGCTCACAACAATCTCTAATGAGATCTGGTGCCCTCTGCTGGTTTGAAGACATACATGCAGACGGAACACTGTATACACAATAATAATACAATAAATAAATCTTAAAAAAAAAAACTGATTCCACAAGTAATTTGTAACTACTCTATGCAGTGTTCCAGTTTTGGTTTGATATTTTTGAGACTTTAAAAGTGCAGAATATTTATTTTGTTAATCTGTAGGCCATTCAAACCAATGTGTAGAAAAATTTTTATTATACAAGTCAATAAATTCAACTATAGATTGTGACTATAACTTCATTCTAAATGTCTTTTAGCTCAATCTGTAAAACCGAGTACACGAAGAAAGAAGGGGATAGACCTGGGAGACATTCAGAGTTCCATTGAATCTATAAAACAAACCCAGGAAGAGATTAAAAGGTAATATATTCTGACAGAGACCAGTTGTTTGTGTCCAGAGGGGTAAAGACACTGTTAAGGGAAATCATGCAAACTTTCCATTCTATGACCCGGCTAAGGTTTAAAAACAGAGCCCTGGCCTCTGGTGCCTGAAGTCTGAAGCTTACAAATTCCTCCCACACTGAACTACTAGGAGGTAGGGTTGTTTCTGAGAAAGCTGACAGACTTGCTTGTTCCCGCGGTCCCCTTTGTGTATGGCTAAGATGTAATTGTAATGTATCACTTCTTAACATAACTGAAATACTTGCTTAGCAGTGGGTAAATAGTCACTGCTCTGAGACCAGGACTCTCTCTCACACACACACACACACACCACTTGATGATCTAGCACCTAACAGTTATTAACACTTAACAGAGGGTCCTAGAGGAAAGGTGTTTCCTTTCCTGTTTCATTACTGAGACTAGCTACATGAGCTTTAAAAATGTTTACTATTAAGCCTTCCTGCTTTTTATGCATGCATCACTCAGTGCTGGATGTAAGTTCAGGGTAATTAAATACGAACAGTCTTTCTCTGTTCTTGGAGCTGCAGTTTTATCTTCAGCCTCTTTGCTGTTCCCTGGACCTGTCCTGTCCCGTGCTTCTGTCGTATGAAGCTTCTCATGTCTACCATGCCGTGTGTGCATGCTCATGTTTGGACCATTGCCCATACTGCAGTTGGCTTCTCAGATTGCCCTTCTTTCCTTTATTCATCAAGAAAAGCTCTGGCCAGCACCCCTGATGTGCACACCCTCAGTCACAGCACTCAGGGGGCAGAGACAGACCAGGGGTGAAGGTGCACACCCTTAGTCACAGCACTCAGGGGGCAGAGACAGGCCAGGGGTGAAGGTGCACACCCTTAGTCACAGCACTCAGGGGGCAGAGACAGGCCAGGGGTGAAGGTGCACACCCTCAGTCACAGCACTCAGGAGGTAGAGACAGGCAAATCTCTAGCCTGCTCTAGGTAGAGTATTGCAGGGGATTGATGGGAGGGAGACACACTGTCTCAAAAAGAGAGACAGAAAAGAACATTTCTGCATATCCCTTAGGTTGCTTTCACATGTCACCTTCTTGCAGCCGTGTGGCCGTTTACCCTGCCTGCCCTCTGCAGGAGCTGGCCTGACATTCCCTCCAGCCTCCTTTGGAGCATCCTGCAGAGTTGCTCTTAGGTGTGCTGTTGGCGCCTCTGGACTGTGAGCTCCTTCAGAGCAGACAGCATGACCTCTTGGGTATCATCAGACCTTAATCAGGCCTTAAATTGGTGTCCACATTATATAATTTCAGTATATGTGTAAACCTCCTTGGTTGTGTTTGCCGCCTGTTTTTCATAGCACAATTCCAAAAAAAAAAGTAACGGTGATTGACTCATGAGTCGCTTTTAGCCAAAAACATTTAAGATGTCATGAAGAGACTATATTTCTTGACTAAATTCACATTTTTTTTGTAGCATAAGAAGGCTATTGAGTATTCTTCAATTTGAGGTTGTTAGGAATTCTGTTGCATTTTTTCCTTTTGGAATTTTTACTCCACTCCTGTCTCTCAATTAAAGATAAAAGAAACTTAGTCAACTAAAGAGCAAATACCTTTCTTAAAACTACTGTGGTAACAGAGATGATAATATATTTTTGTATTATTAAACTGTGATGATTCTCTTTAATATGCCACAAAGTAAATACAGTGTACTTAAAAGCACATTAGCCTGAATTTTGGCATCTCAGATCTTGGTTAGAGTAGTAATTGATTGAACTAGTTACTTGAGGTAATATAATTAGACACTTTGTGACAATATAATAATTATAATAATGATGTTTTGTACTAACATTTCTGAAAAATAATTATCAAGTTTATTGTTTATTTTGTAGAAACATTATGGCTCTTCGAAATCATTTACTTTCGAGTACACCGGCTACAGATTATTTTCTGCAACAGAAAGACTACTTCGTCATTTTCCTTCTGATTTTGCTTCAAGTCATAATAAACTTCATGTTTAAGTAGAAGTTCTCAACAGTTGAATCACTGAACTGGAAAGATCAGATTTGGCTTGGGACCAGTGTTCAAATTGGTTTGCTCTTTATTAAAGCATCACAATCTTTCTAAATCCAACAAACAAAACTAGGAGATAAATGTAGAAGTGTCTGCTACTTTTCACGTCTCTATCCTTAAGCAGAAACAAGAGCTGTTCTGTTTGGTTGTTAAAATTGGCTATGTGTTAAGTGCCAGAACACTTGTGTGAGACTGTGCCTACATGTGAGTATAATAAATCCACATGTGTACACAAGAACTCTTACCTGACAGTAGTTTCTGTGTTCTGCCGTATGTTAGGAAATATTCTGATACCATTGTTCATAACAGAAATGCCATCAATCTTATAAATATATGTATAGTCAACTATTTTCTTCAGAAGACTGGCATACAACCTTTATTAAGGAATTACAGTGGAGAAATGATAGATAATAGATATATTATGACTAAGTCAATACATACTGTTAAAACGATCTCCAAGGTATCTAGCTCAGTTGTCTTAGAAACACCAAGAAAAAAGTGTGAGTGGTCAGAATTAATATATTGTGAGGAACAAGTAGAAAGTTTTTAATAGTTTACACGGAAGATTTTCTAACCCCTAGAACTTAATGTTACAGATGTAGGTATATCCGTAGTTATATATATATCAATATTAAAGACTGGTCTCTAGCTACATGGATCTGTGTGTTACAGTCCCACCTTAAGCACTTGCTGACAAATGGTCAAGTTTGTTTGCCATCCTTTCCTGGTTTTGTTAAGTCAGCTAGTCTAGGACATCGTCCAGATGTCGTCCAGATGTTAGTGTTTATAGGGTATGTGAAATCCTGATCATTTGGTGTTTCTTTATGGAAAACATTTTAACATTCATTTTGACACTGGAGTGCTCAGTGAGTAAATAGAGAAAAATTCTAATATTTTACTTTAGAAGCAAAAAAAAAAAAAAGGCAGTAAGAAAAGACTGCAGTGGCCTTTATTTTAAGAACATTAAAATCAACTTGCTTAAATGTGCAATAAGTTGAGCATTTGAGAATATGAAGTTAGGAAGTTTATCATCTCTTTCCATCGTCCTGTTTCCAGCCACAGTTCTGTACAAGTCCTTTTGTCCAGGCTCAGGCAGGTTTTGTTACTAAAGGTTTTTGCCTATTTCTTCAGTTTAATATTTTGACTTTTTATTATTGTCAAAAAACACTTCTTTAAAAGGTTAATTAAGTTTTGGAACATGTCATAAAATTTAGATTCCTCCAAACTACAGGTTACAGAAAGTTTATACAGTAAAAAATTCAGAAAGAGCTGTTGGTCTGGCTCCACCTGCCCTCAGCTAGGGAGAGGCTGAGGTGCAAGTCAGTCAGCTGAGATGGAGCGGCAGTCAGCTCTGTGTGAGGACTGCAAAGCCAAGAGATGACAGCTTCATTGCTGCAGCTGCTTGTAACTATCTCCAGTACCTTCGGGTCCCACAAAAAGCCATTTCCCACACGGTCGGTGTTTGCAAAATAGGGCTGTACTTCATAGGAAAATATTTTAAACTTTTAAACAGCGTAAGCAAGGTGTACCTGTCTCCAGTATTTCATTATTATGGAGTTTGGGGTTATATTTCATATTTGTCAATATATTTTTTGTATTTCATATTCTACTACCAATATTTTGCTCAACTGCCTATTCATTGATGTGATATTTTGTAAATATTGTACAACTTGATCTTTATATGATTTTAAATTAGTATTAATTTATATTATATATAACTTAATTGGTTGATCACTAAAAGTTGTTTCATCATTAAACCCTGAAATATTCAATTGTTGGTGACCTTCCTTAGGGCTCTGTCTTACTCCTTTGTGTTGTCACATGTGGTCTGAACAGTGCTTTATTTGTATTGGTATCTGAGACTGGAAAGGTAGTTATTTTGTTTTTTAATTTCACTTCAGAGCTGATGTTAATGGGTCCTTGCCCAAGGAGTCAGAAGCTAATGAACAGGGTGACTGTTTCTTACACACTGAAAGCTAATGTTCAATCAGATGTTTCTCTGACGCTTTTAGTTGTAGGAGTTTCTTTCTGTGAACTGAATACAAAACTCAGGAACTGGTGGATTCTTCTAGAAGTCCTTTGAACAGTGTAGAGTTGACCTTGAGTCTAGCCAGACTGTGTGACCTGACTTTTGAACATTCTGATCTGAGGGTTATCTTTCTTCAGAAATGGTTTCATAATGTGTGTGAGTCACTCTTGCAAACTGTCTGAAAACTCCACGCAGTTTGTGACGCTGTGACCAGTTTTCTTCATTTATCTAAAACCTTGTTTTCTCACATGAAAATTTAGATGAGTAGTAATAATTATTGACATTTTCATCTTTCAGTTGTTAAATGTCTTTAGTTGTCCCCCGTTTAGAGAGATGTTGCTGGTTAGGAAATACAGTCATAGGCATATGAGATGTTAGTGTGCTGCAGCAGGAGACGTTTAACCCGTAGTTCTTATTGATGCTTGTTTTGGTGTGTGTAGGACTTAGAAAGGTACAGTGGTCATCTCTGTCACAGCTCAGTTGACAGCTGCATTCCATTGAGCAGTTGGCCTCGTAAGATACAGTCCTCATTTCCTATTTCATGCTTTTGTGCCTTTAAGGAGATACTTTTATTATTTTGTGTTACAGAACTATAGTGTGTTCCAAGTATTCGTGGGCTTATTTGTCACAAAAGGTCATTTCTCTGTGTCACTTTATTTCCTTTTCTATAGCAGAAGATGATGTAAACAGTCATGCTGTACTTTTATAAGGGTTTGTCTAGTTACCGATTTCAAATATATTCTTACTCAGACATCATCGATGTAAACTTAATTCTGAGTATTGTAAACAGTGCCTTTTTGATGGAATTCACACTGTTTTGGGTGTCAATGCGTGCCATATTCACAGAACTTTGTGGAAGGCAGTTTTAACTTTTTGAAGAATATCTTCATCAAAATTTTAAAAAACAAATGTATAAAATTCCATCTTTTTCCGGTGTTTAGCATTTCTAGTCAGCAGTAAATAGTTTTGTTTTGCGTTTTTGTCTTATGTACAGGGATGATGGCATAAGATGAGCCATACATGAGCCTACAGGTTACTTTGAATTATGTTAAATATAAATAAAATATTCATGTTTATATCAAACTTTCCAATTTGACCTATAGGGGGGAACCTCCCATAATTCAATGAGTTTACATTTCAACCTCTTTGTTATTTGACTACCTGTATAAAGAGATTCTTTAAAATGTAAACCTGCCACCGCTGCATAAGTTGGTTTCATTTTATTACGTACTTTGTGGGTTTAGTATATCCACTTTTTGTTACAATTACAATACTATTTTGTTACAATTTTTAATTGAAGATGGACTGTTAAAATTGTACAGGACCAGGGTCTATTAATAAGATTAACATACTTAGTGAGAGCCACAGGAAAACCTTGACAAAAATGAATGTGTTTATACTTTATGAAGTATTTAGAAAAATTAGCCTCTTCATTTATCATGAAAGTTATTTTACTACCATAATATTGAAATTCTTTATTTGAAAAAAATTGCCATGAAACATTTGAATGATGAGCCACAGACCTTCAGTTGGGTTTATATTCACCTTTTGGCATGTTAAATACACATTTAATTTTAAATACATCAGTTAATGGCTGTTTATAAAGTCAAGCACTACCACTGGTCAGTTTTCTATGATAGGCTATGAGTGTGTTGTTACCCGCAGTTTCAGTTAAATTCTCTTAAGGTGCACAGTAAATGTATAGATAGTCACAGGCGGTTTTGTAATGTATACATTTCTAATCTATTATTCCTAACCTGTCATGTTTGCAGAGAGAAAAGAATTTTTCTAATGATCTGTAAAATTATGTTAACTTCTACAAGTAGGTATTCTAAATAAACTTTTTTTAAAAGCAATCTGATCCAATGACTCCTGATATAATGTAGTAACTAAATTAATCTTCTCTCATTTTGCTTTGTTTGGGGGTGTGTATGCAAAAGGGACAGGCTTGACAGGGATTTAACCTAATCCCTAATGTATGTTTTTCTAGATAAGTGGAAATTATACATATTTCATACATTAAAAATGAGGCTCAGAGTTTCTAGATGACCTCAAGAACTAAACAGTAAGAGTGAAAGCACAATCTTTCTGAAAAGCTAAAAACGTTTTGAATCATGTCTACACAGTGCACTGTGCACTGTGTATTTAAATGTTTGAAATAACCCACTACTTAAGTCTATATTACGATAATGACAAGTGATGAATACAACCTGGAAAAAAAGCAGTACCATTGAACATTTAAATGTTGTACCCTCTAGTTACCTGTTAGTGAGGAGTCCATACTGAGTAAACCTCAAATAAGCTCCAGGACAGTTTTACTCCTGATTTCCTCCTCCTTTCTCCCCATCCTAGCTTACCCCTCAGAATCCATTTGCTACTTCTAGAAATAACAGGAGAACCTACAATGGTCTGTCTTGCATGGGAATATGGATTAGGAAAAATCCTCAGTGTTAAACATCAGTGTGTATCTACAAGATCACTTTTTTGCTAATACTGACGTGTTTGATCTGCATTCTTACGGATATAACAGCCCAAGAGTTATGATCCGCCATAAGAATGTTGTGAGTAAATGACAAATACTTGACTCTACTTGCTCCGTGTTAGAAACTGTACAAAGTACTTTCTAGTGTATATACCTCGGAACTTTTTTTTTCAGTGTATGATCTCCATTTTTTTTTTTTTTTAATGAGGAAAGCAAGGACCACGTAAGTTATTTGCTGAATGTCATGGATGATTGACTGGAAGGACCACCTCAGCTATGAATTCAGAGCCCATGCTTTCCCTGAAGCCTGTGTTTTAATAGGGAACATTTCTGTTTGGGGGTTGTATCCAATACGCGAGGTTAATGTGTGTTGGATCGTATTATTAATCATCGATGTGAATAAAGGGCAAACATCCATTTCTGCTGGAGTGGTCAAACTAGTTGGGTCTCTCAGATACCAGAACGCAGGAAAGTCAGCCTAAAATGGCGGTGGCCACGCTCTCCGCGTCCGTCCTGCATCCTAAAACCATTTGCATGAAGTTAAGGAGAGCAATTGAGCTGGGCCCTGCAGGAGTAGGACTGGAAAGCATGCAAGTCCCTTGGTCCCAGCCTTTCCCTTGCCAGACCTAGGGGGCGTGGCCAGGGACGCCTGCAGTCTCCGCCCCCGCCCCGCGGGCTCCACCCCACTGCAGAGCCCCGGGGCTCGCCCGCCGCGCGAGGCAATGGCCAATCCACGCCAGCCGTCCTGCTGCACTTCCGGCCCCTTCCCCGCCTCTTCCGTTTCCGTCCTCCGGCGGTCCTGGCCTCCTGCCCTCGGTGTGGCAGAAGCGGTTGCCAGGCTCCCGGGTCCATGGCGTCCCTGGGGTCCGTGACCGCGGCGCTGCGGGTGGCTGAGGCGCTGGAAACCATCGCCAGCCGCTGCGTGGGGCCCGAGGGCGGGCAAGTGTTGTGTACGAAGGCCACCGGCGAGGTGCTGCTCAGCCGGGATGGAGGCCGCCTCCTGGAGGCGCTGCACTTAGAGCATCCCTTAGCCAGGTACCTCGCGCCACCTGCCGTCCGCCAGGCCCGCAGGCTCCCTCCACCTCCCATCCGGTCCTGAGGCCGTGGACCTGGAGTAAAAACATCTTGTTAAGACCAGTGTAGACATCAGGTTAGAGCGCCGCCCAAACGACTAGTCCTGGGTCCCAAACCTCGTCAACTACCTAGAACAGTTCTCTTTTTCCACCCCCGGGATCTCAGAATAGAACAAAGTAGTTTAGAAAAGTAAAAAGTAAAGATAAGTCTGTGTGTCAAAAAGACGATAGTCTTTATGTCTGTAGCAATGAAAGCATGAGTTTAACATGGCGCCAATGTAGAAAATCTGAGTTACTTTTTTTTCCCCCCTTCCTATACAGGATGATAGTGGCGTGTGTTTCCAGTCACCTTAAAAAAACAGGAGATGGTGCTAAAACATTTATTATTTTTCTTTGCCATTTACTCAGAGGACTTCATGCAACCAGAGGAAAAGAAAAAGATTCACTCACTTCTGCAAATATTCAGACCCATGAAAGGCACTGGAGAAACTGTTGTCAGTGGAAATCTGTTTCTCAGGCTCTATTGACGTTTCAGACACAAATACTAGATTGTATTGTGGACCAGTACTTAAGCAGGCACTATTTGTCTGTCTTTTCTTCCTCTGCTAAAGGAAGAACACTGTGCAGACACTCTTTAGAGTCACTCCTGGAGGCATACTTTTGTGGAAGAGTGGGAAGAAACAATCGCAGATTTATTTCACAGTTGATGTGTGACTACGTTTTCAAGTGTATGGCTTGTAAAAGGGGGACTGAAGTATTTGAGTTGGTGGACAACTGTTTTGTCGAGTTGAATGTTGGTGTGACAGACCTTCCTGTTTCAGATTCTAGAATTGTGGATGGCCTCGTGCTGCACCGGGACTTTTCTGTGTATTGCCCAGCAGATGGTGATATGAGGATGGTGTTGGTAACGGAAATCCTCCAGCCTCTGTTCTCATCATCTGGATCAGAGTTTATTCTAAATTCAGAAGTGCAGTTTCAGGCATCTCAGTGTTGGATCATGGAAAGGACAAAAGCAGTAATGAGACATTTGCATAGTCAGAATATAAAACTGCTCCTGTCCAGTGTGAAGCAACCAGACCTGGTTATTTACTGTGCAAGATTAAATAGCATATCGGTGGTGGAGTGCTTGTCATCTGAAGAGGTTTCTCTTGTCCAGAGGATCACTGGTCTCCTTCCATGTGCTCTATCACAGGTCACCTCACAGTGTGAAATTTTTGATACTACTTTGGTGAAATTTTGTAAGCCCCTTATCCTTAGATCCAAAAGGTATGTTCATCTTGGCTTGGTTAGCACATGTGAGTTTATACCTCACTGTATGATCTTTTGTGGTCCGGTTTTGGGTCTTGTTCAACAACACGAGAGTGCTTTTCATGGAGCATTTAAGATGCTTCGGCAGTTGTTTTCTGACCTTGATCTAAATTACATTATACAAACCCAAGACCAGAGTGACCCAAGTCCTCTTACTTATAGCAGTAGCAGAGAAAGTAATGGTAAGTATCAGGACACAAGAGTAAAAAGCCAGAATAAATTGGAAAACACTCAGACATATTTAAAAGTATATTCAAATTTGGTGGCTTCGGATACAGAATTAAAAACACATATGCCGTGGTCGGCACACAAGGAGACGCCAGTAGATACATCTCAAAGAGATGAAGTACTGAAGTGCTTGTCTCCAGAAAATAACGGGGTACTTGATGATTCTGAACTGTTAACTGAGAATAATTCCACTGGAAATCCTACAGCAGAAGACACTAGAACCGAAACTTCTTCTGAAAATGTACAGGTCACAAATAATCCTGGAAAAGGGTACACGTTGCCAGTGATATACAAGTCACTTGACACTTGTACCTCCCAGGGTTATTGTTCATCAACTATCCCAGCAGGCTGTGTTCTGCCAGTGGGTGGTAATTTTGAGATCTTGCTGCATTACTATCTTCTCAACTATGCCAAACAATGCCGGCAGTCAGATGAAGCCCTGGTCAGTGTGTTAATAGCTAATGCACTTTTAGGCATCCCGAAAATCCTTTACAAGTCTAAGAAAGGAAAGGACAGCTTTCCACACCTGTATATGCGATCTCTGCATGCACTGCAAACCAATCAACCCATGGTAAGTGGTCAGTCAGGCTTGGAGCCAGTAGCTGGTAAGTACCAGTTACTAACTTCAGTTCTTCAGTGTTTGACGAAAATACTAACCATTGATTTAATAATCAATGTTAAGAGACAACCTCAGAAGATTGGTGACCAAGATTCAGAAGATGAACTTTAACACTGTCGGTTTTTCGTTGCTCAAACTCTGAGTCCGGGGCCAGGGAGAAGGCAATCCAGAGGACCTGTGGTCAATGCCCAGAGGTTACTGGCTGGAAGGAGAGGATGGAGTCCTGAGGCTTGTCCTGTGTCCTACACACACATGTCAGATGCACACACTACATGTTAGGAAAAAGCTTTATTCAACTCAAGCTAAAAATCAAAACGAGCTTCTTGCTAACTTTGAAGGCAATCCAGTATTTACCTTAAGTGCATTGAGTCCCAGACCATTCAGACACAAATATCAGCTCTAGGGAACAAAGACTTGGCTAAATACGTCTCTTTCCTGCGTTATATTACCAGGCTCAGGTCTGTGTTGTCTGTGTCTAAGGGAGCATGTCGCTATATTTCCCTTTTCTGTAATTTTTTCCACTCCATTTCCTTGAACGTTCTGTATTTCATAGTCATGTGATCTCCCAACCTGAAAGAGGCCTTCCGATGCTATCCCCTGTTGTTTATAAACATGAATATGAAATTGTTATGTTTTATTTAAAATAGTTTTTCTATGAGAAAAATTTGTAAAGCAGTAAATAAAGTCAAATTTTCTCTGTAAAAGCATATAAATTAATTTGTGTGTCATTTGGTTTGTTTATTTCTATTGAAAACAGCTGGTTGGGGGCTGGGGCGATGGTTCAGCTGGACAGCATTTGCCACCCAAGCCTGCCACCCTGAATTTAAAGGGGAGAACCAATTCCACAAAGCTGTCCTCAGGGCTCCGTGTGTACACTGTGGCACTTGCATGCACACAAAAAGGGTAAAGTTTCAACATCTGCACCTTTGAATACCTGTTCAAAAATGACTTTGCGCTGCAAATTCACCTTTTATAATTAGAAGTTAATGCCAGAAAAGATGGGAAATTATGCTTTTCATTTTCTCCTGGCTCTGAAAGCCCTGGAAGGATTTAATGCAGTTGCTAGTATTTCTTAGTTTGGGTGCACGGCCGAAATTCTATAGCAACAAACTGACCATTGTGTATTGTACATTGACAAGTGTTTGCATGTCACTTTAAGAGCTTCTGAGTGCAAACAGCACACTGTGTGTCAAGTCATGAATAAGAACAGTGTCTTCTTCTTTTAGTGATTCTCTGTAACACCCCAAACAATGTTTTCTTTATGCCAAGTGTTTAAATGTGCTTGTTAAGTAACTGTTATCACATCGGTTCCCCTAAATACATATTTCTCGTTCATTCATTCAGTAAATCCTTACTATGCAAATACTCAGTTAGATGCTGACTCTGCTGTGCTGTCAAGCAGTGCCTTCAGAGATTAATAGATAGATAAACATTGGCTTGTAATTGAATTTAGAAAAAGTAGAACAAAAACACCTTTGTATTTGAAATGTTTCTGACTAGTAATGTGTTTGTAAGTTAGTAGGCTGGGAAGATGACTGGGAAACTGTCCTGCTGCACAGAATTGAGGAACCAGCCTCTGAATCCCCAATACCTACCTAACAGCCAGGATTGGCAGCATGCCTCTATAACCCCACAACTGGGGGATTGCCGGGAGTAGACAGGCAGATCCCTGGATCTTGCCTGCCAGCCAGTCCAGCCAATTGACAAGCTCTAGATTCAGTGAGACTCCCTCAAAATAACTGGTTATGTACACCATGTTGATGCATGTGGTCCTTGTTTCCACGGGATAACATCTTGATGGCCATGACCTCTTTGTCTCCTTAGGACCATGTTAAGGTATGTATTGTTGGTTTCCAATGTGAAGAATGTAAATTTCCAAGAATTGAAATATCAACTGAAACTAAGTTGACATCCAGAATGCTGCCATCTCAAACAAGTTGATGTCTTTGATCCTGTTGTGTCTGTTAAACATTTGAATGACCATGAGCAGACCTATCATGCTATTACTATTACTGCTGGAAGCCATGTTGATGCCGGGGTTCTTTCTTGCCCATGGATCTGATGTTGATGTCTATCATCTGTCCTGCTATCTGTGACAAACTTGATGCGAGAGTTCTGTGTTGCCAACATGAAAAATGTTCCTTTCCCTGATCTAAACTATCATTGAAAACCATGTTGCTGTCCATTCTACATGCTGCCACCTGAAACCATGTGAATTTAATTGATCCCTGCTGCCTCTGTAAACCGTATGGATGTCCATGATCAGATTATAACGCTCTTCCTACTATTTCTGGAAACAGTGTTGATGCTCATGATCTTCTTACCACTGGGTACCAGGTTTATTACATGATCTCTCCTGCTACCTGGGCAAATGTTAATGTAAGTGTTGCTTGTTGCCAGTGTGTAGAATGTTAATTCCCAAGATTTAACCAAGCATTGGTAAGGAAGCTGATATACATAATTCATGCTACCACCTGCAACCATGGTGCTGCCTCTGTTAACCCTGTAGATGTCTATCAGTGGACCTCTAATGCATTCCTATTGGTTCTAAAGCCATGTTGATGCATGTGGTACTTGTTTCCATGGGATAACATCTTGATGGCCATGACCTCTCCATCTCCTTAGGACCATGTTAAGGTAAATATTGTTTGTTTCCAATGTGAAGAATGTAAGTTTCCCGGAATTGAAATATCAGCTAAAACTAAGTTGACACCCGGAATGTATGCTGCCATCTCAAACAAGTTAATGTCATTGATCCCTGCTGCCTCTGTTAACCATGTTGATGTCTATGATCAGAACTTCCATGCTATTCCTATTGGTTCTGGAAGCCATGTTGATGCCCATCATGCCACTTGTTACTACTGGAAAACATCTTGTTATGGATGACCTGTCTGGACATTTATGACTACATTAAGGTAAATGTTCTGTGTTACCAGTGTGAACAATGTAGATTTGTAAGAATTAAACTACCATCTGAAACTAAGTTAATATCCATAGTTCATGCTGCTGCCTGCAGACAAGTTGATGCCATTGTTCCCTGCGGCCTCTGTTAAGCATTTTGATATCCATGATTGGATAGTCCATGGTGTTCCTACTATTTCTGGAATCCGTGTCAATGCCTGTGGTCCTTCTTACTCCTCAATAGGAAGTTTATGCCCATCTTTCCTGCCATTTTATTGCCAATGAGAAAAATGTCAATTTTCAAAATTTAATCTACAATCTGAAAATAAGTTGATATCCATGATTCATGCTGCCACCCGCAACCACATTGATGTCATTGATCCCACATGCCTCTGTTAACCAAACTGATGTCCAACATAGGACCTACCATGCTATTTCTACTATTTCTGGAAGCAATGTTGATGCCTGTGGTCCTTCCTATCACTGCATACATTGTTGATTTCCAAGATCTCTCCTGCCCCTTGTGACCACATTAAAGTAAGTGTTCTGTGTTGCCAATATGCAAATTGTTAATTTCCAAGATTTAACCCACCATCCAAAAGTAAGATGAAATCCATAATTCATGATGCCTCCTGAAACCATGTTGATGTCTTTGATTCCAAGTGCCTCTGTTAATCAAATTGATGTCCATTATGGGACGGACCGACTATGCCATTCCTACTATTTCTGGAAGCCTTGTTGGTCCTTGTGGTCTTTCTTACCCGTGGATATGACATTGATGTCCATCATCTCTTCTGTCCCTGAGACCATGTTGATGCAACAGTTCTGTGTTGCCATTGTGAAGAATGTTAATTTCCGTGATCTCAGCTACCATCTGAAACTATGTTGGTATCTATAGTGCATGCTGCCACCTGTAACCTCGTTGATATCACTGCTGCCTGCTGCCTCCTTTACCATGTTGATGTCTATCATGAGCCTTACCATGCTATTCCTGTTGGTTTGAAGGCCATGTTGATGCCTTGTGGTACGTTTTGTTCCTGGATAAGATGCTGATGTTGATGGTCTGTCCTGCCACCTGAGACCATACTGAGGTAAGTTTTCTGTGTTGCCAACATGAAGAGTACTGATTTCCATGAGTTGACCTACGGTCTGAACCTAAGTTGATATCTGTAATTCATTCTGTCCCTGAACCATGTTGATATCACTGATCCTTGCTCCTTGGTTTATCATGTTGATTATCATGATGATTATCATGATCTGACCTCCCATGCTGTCCCTACTGCTTCTGGAAGCCGTGTTGATGCCTGTGGTCCTTGGTACCCCTGGATATGATGTTGATGTCGATGTTCTGACTCCTGAATTCATGCTGAGGTAAGTGTTTTTGTTGCCGATGTACAGTATGTTCTCCTTGATCTAACCTACTATCCAAAACTAAGTTGTACGAGTACTGCTCATCTGAGCTTCCATGTGAGGATAGCCACTAGAGCCTTGAAAATCTTAACAGAACATCTTCCTCCAACTGCTACCAACTGCTGAGTGCTCTTCATAAGAGGCAAAGCATGAGAACACACTCCCCTATCAATGCCAAACTTCTGGATGGCTTGTTCTTATATGGGTATCTAAGTAATCACAGTTACCGTGGGTTCATAAGCCCAATACCCATAGCCTGTCCAGAAGAGAGCATGTTAGGACACTCCTCATTTTCTGTCTCTTACATTCTTGTTACTTCCTCTTTGTGTGGTGTTCCCTGAGACTTGGAGGGTGTGGGAAGTGGCATCATTGTCCATTGGGGATTTTGCTTTTGCTGTCACTCAATTCTCTGCCCATTGGCAAATGGTTGGTCTGTGTAATGATTGTTGCCCACTTCAAAAAGGTTGTTTTTTGTTTGTTTTGTTTTGTTTTTACCAAGGTAGAGAGCAATCTGTGGGTATAAACAGAAATATTTAGAAGGCGATTTTATAGCATCACTTCTGAGAAAAATTCCAATAGCAGGTTCTGTCCTATGACCTATAAACTCCCCAGCCACGAGCCTTTGACTATGGTTCCAGTACCAAGCATGAAATCCCCTTATGTTGGGCAGGTCCAAGGCACTAGGAAAGCAGGTGGTTACATCATAATAGTGATGCAACCATAGCAACAGTGGGCAAAGGTTGTCTGGCAAGTCAGTGTTAGAGCATGCAGTCCCCAGCACTGGGTAAGTACATGGGAGCCTTTGATCCCCAATCCCATTCTGGCACTATGAAAGTGCACTACTAGCCAGCAGGAAGGTAGTTTTCCAGTAATTTTGAAATGGATTTCTCTGTGTCTTTAACTAAAGTGTGTGGCACCTTTATCATTAGGAGTTTATCATCAAGTTGTGGTGGGTAACCAAGGACAGTGGGAAAAATATTTGTTATTTGTTTTGTTTTGTTGGGAGGGGGGTGTTTGAGATGGGGTTTCTCTGTGTAGCTTTGGAGCCTGTCCTGGAACTCACTTTGTAGACCAGGCTGGCCCCAAACTCAACAGAGATCCGCCTGGCTCTGCTTCCCAAGTGCTGGGGTTAAAGGCCTGGTGTTGAGGCCTCCTTGACCAGTCCTTCAAGGTGAGGTGTCTTATTTCTTACATTGTGGTTTTCATTTAATAACCCGTGTTTTGTGGGAGTGAAATTGTTGATTCATGCAAGATAATTATGTTTGAACTCTTTGTTTTAAGTTGTATTTGGAAATCACCTAAGATGTGAGTTCCCATAAAATATTTTTAGTGCATCCATAGTTTTTTAAATCCATCACAATATTCGCTCTTCTCCCTCATTTCCTTGGCCCTCATTAATCTTTTAACTCCCTTGTATGTCTTTTTAGTTTCATATCCCATGAATTTTACTTTCCCTCCAATTATATTTTGATTGGATTATGGGATCATAGGCTTTGATATAGGTTTTATCCACCCTTTCTTTGAGATCTCTCCATACCCCCAATTTAGTTATTTCCATGTTCCTACCTACCTAAGTCTTTCCAATCACCAAAGTCTGACACTCTAATTTTTCCTAGAATTTCCCATACTCCCTCACTTAATGTACCCTCCTAAATGCCTCCTTTTGGCTTTCACTAGGTATCAGCAAAAAAACATATGAATAATTGAACAGAAATGCAATAAAAATAAGTATTTCAAAGGTATCAAAGAACTGGCAAATGTGAGTGATACCAATAAATGTAAAATTACAAAATGCTCATTAGTAACCAAAGACATTGGAATTAAAACTATGAAATACAATTTGGAATTGAATTCCATAAGCTGGCTTTCAGAATCTCCATTGAGAATTTAGGTGTTATTCTGATGGGTCTGCCTTTATAAGTCACTTGGCCTTTTTCCTTTGCTGCTCTTAATATTCTTTCTTTATTCTGTATGTTTAGTGATTTCATCATTATATGGCAAGGGGACTTTTTTGGGGGTGGTTCTAGTCTATTTTGTGTTTGGTAAGCTTCTTGTATCTTCATAGGCATTTCCTTCTTTTAGTTGCTAAAGTTTTCTTGTATGATTTTCTTGAATATATTTTCTGTGCCTTTGAGTTCGTATTCTCCTTCTTCTGTTTCTATTATTCTTTGGTTTGGCCTTTTCGTGGTGTCCCAGATTTCCTGGATGTTTTGTGTTATGACATTTTTGGCTTTAGTGTTTTCTTTGACTGACAAATCAGTTTCCTCTATTGTATCCTCCACACCAGAGATTCTCTCTTCCATCTCTTGTATTCTGTTGATTATACTTGTGTCTGTAGTTCCTTTTCAGTTACTCAGATTTTCTAGTTACTCAGATTTTCTATTTTGAGCATTCCCTTGGTTTGTGTCTTCATTTTTCTATTTCAATTTTCAGGACTTGAACTGTTTCCTTCACCTGTTTAATTGCTTTTTCTTGGTTTTCTTGGCTTGCTTTAGTGGATTTATTGATTTCTTGCGATTTTTTTTTAATCTGTCTTTTCCTCAATTTCTTTAAGGGAATTTTTCGTTTCCTCTTCAAAGGCCTCTATCAATCTTCATAAAATTATTTTTAAGGTTGCTTTCTTCTGCTTCTTCTATGTTGTGATGTTCAGGTCTTTCTGTTGTAGAACTTTTAGGTTCTGGTGGTACCATATTGCTCTTTATGTTGTTGTATGTATTTATTCACTGGTGTCTATCTATCTCTTCTCCATTAGGTGCAAGAGGTGTCTGAGGGAGCTGCTCTTGATCCAATCTGTACTTGCTGTGTCTGTGTCTGAGGGGACCACTCTTCGTCCAGTCAGAGCTCTTGGTCTAATTGGAGCTGGTGGGATTCTGTGTCTCAGGGAGTAGCTGAGGTTGTAGGGGGTTGGGTGGGTTTGTGGTAGGGAGTGGGTCTTGTCGATTGCAGGGACCAGTGGGGGTGTTGGTGGGGCTGCCTGCCTGCAGGAGTCTTTTCTGCTGGCTTGCAACTGGGGCAGCAATGGGTGGGAGTGGGGAGCACAGATTGTGCCTCAGGGCCTAGGTCATAAAGGCAGGACGGTCTGTGTGGTAGAAGAGTCACTCACCTCTTGGTCCAGTCAGAGCTGGCAGATTCTGTGTCTCAGGGAGCCACTGAAGTTGCAGGAGGATGGGTGGCTTTGGGGTAAGGAGTGGATCTTGTAGATTGCAGGGTCCCACGGGGGGGGGGGGCGGGTGTTGGTGGGGAAGCCTTCTGCAGGAGTCTTCCCTGCTGGCCTGCAGCTGGGGCAGCACTGGGTGGGGTGGCGGGCCATGGATTATGCCCCCGGACCTGGGTCCCAGAGACAGGACTCTCTGGGTGGAGAAGAGTCACTCGCCTCTTCTAGCAGAACTTCTTAAAGGAGCCATATCCTTTTTTAAAGCTTTATCAGGCCCTATGGAAATTCAAGAGCCTAACACTGATATGCCAAATATATATATTTGCTATTTTTGCTCTTCACTCTTTTTGGGCCCACTACCCAGCTCTCAAATAAATCCCACAGAGACTTATTCTTTCTTATGAATGCCCGGCCTTATCTTGGCTTGTTTCTTGCCAGCTTCTTAATTTATCCCAGCTGCCTTTTGTCTCTGGCCTTTTTTTTTTTTTTTTTTTTTTTTTTTTTGGTTTTTCGAGACAGGGTTTCTCTGTGTAGCTTTGCGCCTTTCCTGGGACTCGCTTGGTAGCCCAGGCTGGCCTCAAACTCACAGAGATCCTCCTGGCTCTGCCTCCCGAGTGCTGGGATTAAAGGCGTGCGCCACCACTGCCCGGCTGTCTCTGGCCTTTTACTTATCGCAATTTCTGCATACCTTTTCTTTCCTTCTTACTCAGTTTCTCGCTGTGTGCCTACCTCCTTCTTTTCTCACTCCTTCATTTTCCATTCCCACATTTCTCCTATTTATTCCCTGCCTGACAGCCCTGCCTGTCCTTTCTCCTGCCTTGCTATTGGCTGTTCAGCTCTTTATTAGACCGATCAGATGTTTTAGGCAGGCAAAGTAACACAGCTTCACAGAGTTCAACAAATGCAACATAAAAGAATGCAACACATCTTTGCATCGTTAAACAAATATTCCACAGCATGAACAAATGGAACACATCTTAAAATATTCCACAACAGACATCCATCTTGCACCCTTCTTAGTTACTTTTCTTTTGCTGTGATAAAACACTATTAGCAAGGAAACTTACAGAAGAAAAAGTTTCTTTGGGTTTATGAGTCCAGAAGGTTAAGAGTTGATCACAGTGGAGGGACAGGAAAAGTGGAGGCAGGAAAGATGGAAGCTAGACCAGGATACTGAGGGCTCACCTCTGGAGCAGCAGGAAGCCAAGAGAATGAACTAGAAGATGTGTGAAGATACTAGCTCTGAATTTCCATCTCTAATAAACTACTTCTTCCTAATCCTCCCCAAGCAAAACTACCAGTTTGGGACTAATCTCAAATGCCAGAGATTATGGGGGGTATTTCTTCCTTAAATCACAACGACACTCATCCTCCCAAGGTTCAGAGATCATCAGAGAGGAGACAGTGGGGACATTACAAGAACCAAAGGTAGTGGATAATTACAGAGAAGCTCTTCTCCAGACACAACAAGGCAGTTGAACATGTGAAAAGGTAGTCATTCTAACTCCATGCACAAGACCAGCACAAGATCAAGTCAGACAAAATCCCAGCTCGGAGGGGAGAGATAATCAGGAAATCCCACTGCTAGGTATCGAAATTTAACAAGTTTCTGGTGGCTATTTGGAGATGGAAATTCTTTCCTTTAGGCATGTGGCCATGCACATAATGGCAGCAGTAACTGAATATGCTGGTTTAAATGAGAAATGTCTCCTATAAGCTCGGGCATTTGAATACTCGATCCCCCTTTTGTGTTGGTGTTTGGGAAGGTGTAGTAGGTTATGGCCATCCTGGAAGAAGAATGTTACTGGAGGCAGGCTTTGAGAATATGTAACTGCTCTACTTCCAAAATGGTCCCCTTCTTGGTGCTTATAGTAAAAGATGTGAGCTCTCAGCTTCCTACTTCTACCGTTCCTGACACTTGCTGCCATACCGCCTACCTTGAAGGACTCTCTTTCATTTAAAAGCATATGCCTAAATAAACTATTCCTTGTATAAAATGCCTTGACCATGGTTTTTATCATAGCAACAGGAAAGTAGCTAATACAGTGGATTTCATGGATTTAACAAAAGGAACACATAAAATATAGGGGTGACAGTGGTAGAGGGATAGAGAAGTAATTAGAAGGGAGAAAATGAGGATTGGACTTGTTCAAAACACATTATATGCATGTATGAAAATCTCAATCAACAAAAAAATTACCTACCATTACAGATAATACAATTTGCACTTCTTATTCTCCGATTTTTGGCTTTTTTTTAAACTTAAACTCACCCATCAGTTAAGAATTAAGAAACTAGGTAACTTTAGTCATCGGAAGTTAGGCTTCTGATTGGATTCAAGACCCATGAACCCATATCTTGGGGTGTCATAGGCCCCAGGGGAGAACATAGTACTATTATTTTTTAGCTAAATGGATATAGTATTAAACAACTCCTGCACAAACCACAGCATACATGTTTGGTCAATATTCAGTTGTGATAAAAATTGTAATCCTATCATAAGCAAAATGGACATGATTAGAATTTGTTACATAAGGTACAATTAAAAGGCATAATTGTATACATTGGCTTTAATATGTAAATTAAAATTAGAACATTTTACTTAAACCATGTGCATTCATTCACTTACCAACTTAAGTATATTAGAGGTATTTATGTAGTCATTTAACACATGATTTCTTACGACTCTTTCAGACATCCTTACTGTTACTTTACCCTCCGTTTGTATTTCTCTCCCTCGCTGTCTGTCTATTCCATGGCCTCCTTCAGATCACTGTAACCTGGTACAGCCCTCTTACTTCTATCTCACCACTAACCGTGCCGTGGTCCCTTTCATCTCACTGGTTTCTTGGTTCTCAGCAAAATTAAGTTGGTTTGTCCTGTATCAAATAACATAATCAAGTTATTCCCTCAAAGACGATCTCAGATAAATCTTAATTTATACAATTCCTCAGAGGTGTGCTTAGTGGCTTGCCTCCTAAGTGTTGATTAATTAATACTGACCATCATACTAGGTATTATAAAGCATGCCTTGTGTTTACATTTTAGTTAATTTTCAGAACAATTCTCTGTAGTAGGGACAGTATTTCTATTGTTTTAAAACGCATATATGGATACCCAGTTTCTGTGGTTGCCCAAAGACCATAGAAATAGTCGTATAAAGGAATCACAATAAACATTTGAGAAAATTTCCCTAACATTGAATAACTCAAGATTCACATCTTTCCAATAGTTACCTTGTTTAAACTAGTTGAGAATTAAAATTTTGTGTCATTAAATATTTATCACAGTACCTGAAATGTAATAAAATAACAATGTTAAAAATTGTGAACTATAATGAAAGCAGTGAACTTTCATACAAGTAATTTCTTGCATATATTAGTAAGGCAAGAACACCAGGTTATTTGGCTTCTGGAATATTTCAGTTATTCAACATAAACCCTTAATTTACTTTTCTCATTGTATTGTAATTTTTGAATGAGACATGAAGTTTGAAAACATTGCATAAGTAAGATGCTTGTTGTGCTTGCCAGAGTTACCTGAATATTCCTCAAATTTGTACTGAAATTTACCCATAGAGATAAACATCTTCTCATTCTCAAGGGGATACATTATAATTAAGGGACATTTGGTAGACCCTCACTGTTAATCATTGTTAGCACTCTCTGAATTCTTTGCCCTTTCTCTAAAACAAGAGCTCTCACCTACTACCTCTCTACTAGCATTTTCTCAACATAAAGTTAAGTGTTTGAAGTAAAGGGGAAGATGTTTGAAGTAGTATATCATTTGACAAATGATAAAAAGAGAAAAACTGGAAGACTACCAGAATGAACATAAAATACAAGACCATATGAAGCAACAAAAGGAAAGGAGAGGAAGTGAAACAAATAAATATAAAGCATGAAGAAGGGTCATATATAAGGGAACAGCTAAGATAATACAAGGGAAACACAAATATTTGGAAAATACAAATATTAAATAGATTACCTGTATAGAAGAAAATTTAGCATTTATATCCAGCTAGTTAATTTTTCTAAGGTTAGAAAACTTTAGAGAAGCAAAACATTAAATTTACACATTTTGTATTTTATTACATTTTAATTTCTAGGAAGAGTAAGAGACATAGAACAAGAAAAACATACAGATATGAACATTGACTGTAAGCTCATGGGAAGCTGTGTATAGCACTTTTACTTGGAAGAGATTATTTAAAAATCTAGATTTTTGATGTCAGAAAAAATTTTCAAATAACAAAATTGATATTGTATATAAAATCATAAAATATGACATTGTATGTTCATATCACATTTTGCTCTGTTATATTTATCCTTTTGAAAAGCACTGATGATGTTAACAATAACATCGCTAAAGAATGTCCATGATGCCAGCTGCCACCAGCAACCTTGTTGTTATCCTGTTCCATGGTGCCACTGGGCACCAGGGTGATGTCCATGATCCAAGCTTCCACCAAAAAACACAGAGATGTCCATGGTCTATGCTGCTGCTAGACACCATGTTTATGTCCTTGATCAGGGCCCCTCCCAAAGACCATGTTGATGTCCATTATCCTAACTACCATCCAAACTATGTTGATGTCACTGATCTTTGCTGCTGCTGCATGTTGATGCCCACAGTTCCTGTTGCCACCAGAGACCATGTAATGTCCAGGGTACATACTGATTCTCTAAGCCATGTTGATACCCTTGGTCCTTGCTACCAATGCAGAGGAGGTTGATTTTCCTGGTCCACGCTTCTACCAGTAACTATGTTGATCTGACTGATCCTTGCTACTTCTATAATGATGTTGCTATCTAGGATTCAAGATGTCACACAAAACTATGTTGATGTCACTGGTCCCTGTTGCCTCTGTTAACAATGCTGATGTCCGTGATCCAACCTGCCATGCTGTCCCTAATGTTTCTGGAATCCATGTTGATGCCTGTGGTCCTTGTTGCCCCTGGATATGATGTTGAGGTCTAAGCTCTGTTCTGCCAGCTGAGACCAAACTGATGCAGGAGTTCTTTGTTGCCAATATGAAGAATGTTGATTTATTTTATCCGAACTGTCATCTGAAATTAAGTTGATATCTAGGATCCATTCTGTCAATGGCAACCATGTAGATGTCCCAAATTTTTGCTTCCTCAGTTAACCATGCTGATGTTCATGATCCAACCTACCATGCTATCCTTACTGATTCTGGAAGCCATGTGGATGCCTGTGGTCCTTGTTGCTCCTGGAAATGATGTTGATAACCAAGATCTTTGCTGCCATGTGAGACCATGTTGATGGAAGTGTTCATTGATGCCAACCTGAAGAGTGTTAATTTTCATGATTTAACCTACCATCACAAACTAAGTGGATATCCGTATTTCATGCTGTCTACTACAACCGAGATGATGTCATTGATCCCTGCTGCCTATGTATAACATGATGATGTCCATGATCAGAAGACATACCATGCTCTTCCTGTTGCTTCTAGAATCCATGCTGATGCCTGTGGTCCTCCTTAAAACTGAATACCATGTTAATTTTCTGGATCTCTCCTGCTACCTGTGACTATGGTAAGGTAAGTGTTGTGCATCGGCAACATGAAGAATGCTCATTTCTGTGATTTCACCTATAATCTAAACTATGTATATATCCTTATTTCATACTGCCACCTGCAACCATGTTGATTTCAGTAACCATTGCTGCCTATGCTAACCATGTTGTTGTCCACAAATGGACACATAATGCTATTGCTATTGCTTCTGGAAGCCATGATGATGACCTTGGACCAAGTTACCACTGACTTAAATTTCCATGATCTCCTCTTGCCATTGTGACCATATAAAGGAAGTTTTTGTGTTGAATGTGAAGAATATTACTTTCTGATATTTAACCCACCATCCAAAAGTAAGTTGATATCCAAACTATATGTTGCCATCTGCAACCATGTTGATATCATTCAGCTCTGCTACCTCTGTTTACCTTGTGTGATGTCTATGAATGGACATACCTTACTGTTCCTAATACTTCAGGAAGCCATGTTGATCAACTGGTCCTCATTACCATAGGATAATGTGTTTATTGCAATAACCTCTCCAGCCCTTATATTCATATTAAGATAATGGTTCTCTATTGCCATCATGAAGAATGTAAATTTCCAAGAAATGAAATACCAAGTGAAACTATGTTGTTATCCAGAAAGCATACTGCCACCTCAACCAAGTTGATGTCATTGATCCCTGCTTTGTCTGTTAAACATGTGGATGTACATGAGCAGACCTACATGCTATCCTATTATTTCTGGAAGCCATGTTGAGCCAGGGTTTTTCTTGCCCATTGATCTGATGTTGAAGTCCATCATCTGTCCTGCCACCTGAGACCATGTTGATGCAAGAGTTCTGTGTTGCCAACATAATGAATGTTAATTTCCCTGATCTCAACTACTGTATGAAGCTATGCTGCTGTCCATTCTACATGCTGCCACCTGCAACCACGTGGATTTAATTGATCCCTGCTGCCTCTGTTCACCATATGGATGTCCATGATCAGATTATAACGCTATTCCTACGACTTCTGGAAGCAATGTTGATGCTCATGATCTTCTTATCACTGGATAGCAGGTTGATTCTATGATCTCTTCTGCTATCTGTGACCAAGTCAAGGTAAGTGTTCCTTATTGCCAATGTGTAGAATGTTAATTCCCAAGATTTAACCAAGCATTGGTAAGTAAGCTGATATACATAATTCATGCTGCCACCTGCAACCATGCTGCTGCCTCTGTTAACCCTGTTGATGTCTATGAATGGACCTCCTGTGCATTCCTATTGGTTCTGTAAACCATGTTGATGCAAGTGGTCCTTGTTACCAGGGGATAACATCTTGATGGCCATGACCTCTCCTGCCCTTTATGACCATAGTAAGGTAAGTGTTCTGTGTTGCCATCGTAAAGAATGTAAATTTCTAAGAACTGAAATACCAACTGAAACTAAGTTGAAATCCAGAATGCATCCTGCCCCCTCCTGACAAGTTGATGCCATTGATCCCTGCTGCCTTTGTTAAACATATGGATGTCCATGAGTGGACCTACCATGCTATTTCTACTATTTTGGAAGTCATGTTGATGAGGGTTCTTTGTTGCTCATGGATCTGATGTTGAAGTCTGTCATTCACCCTGTCAGCTGAGACCACGTAGATGCAAGAGTTCTGTGTTGCCAACATGAAGAATGTTAATTTTATGATCATAACTACCAGCAGAAACCATGTTACTATCCATTCTACATGATGCTGCCTGAAACCATGTGGATTTAATTGATCCTTGCTGTCTGTTAACCATATGGATGTCCATGATCAGAACTACAAAGCTACTACTTCTGGAAGCAATGTTGATGCTCATGTTCTTCTTACCATGGACACCAGGTTGATTTCCATGATCTCTCCTGTTATGTGTGATCATGTTAAGGTAAGTGTTCCCTTTTGGCAATGTGTAGAGTGGTAATTCCCAAGATTTAACCACATGTTGATAACTAAGCAGATATCCATAATTCATGCTGCCACCTGTACCCACACTGATGCCATTGATCCCTGCTGCCTCTTTTAACCCTATTGATGTCTATGAATGGACCTCCCATGCATTCCTATTGGTTCAGTAATCCATGTTGATGCATATGGTCCATTTTACCACTGGATAGTATCCTGATTGCTAAAAACTCTCTGTCCCCATATGACCATATTTGGGTAAGTGTTCTATGTTACAAATGTCAAGAATGTAAATTTCTAAGAATAGATCTACCAACTGAAACTAGTATGATATCCGGAATGCATGCTGTCACCTCTGAACAAATTGATGTCATTGATCCCTGCTGTGAAACACTTGGATGTCCAGGAGCTATCCTACGATGCTATTCCTACTATTTCTGGAAGCCATGTTCATGCCAGGGTTCTTTTTTGCCCATGGGTCTGATGTTGATTTTTATCATCTGTCCTGCTATCTGAGACCATGTTGATTCAAGAGTTCTATCTTGCCAATGTGAAGAGTGTTGATTTCCCTGCTGACAGCTCCTAGCATCTTAAACTATGTTGCTATCCATTCTACATGCTATCACCTGAAACCATGTGGTTTAATTGATCCCTCCTGCCTCTGTAAACCATATGGATGTCCATGACTGGAACTAGAGTGCTATTCCTACTATTTCAGGAAGCAATGTGATACTCACGATTTTCTAAACTACTGAATACCAGGTGGATTTCCATGATCTTTCCTGCTATGAGTGACCATGTTAAGGTAAGTGTTCCTTGTTGCCAATGTATAGAATGTTAATTTCCAAGATTTAACAAGCAGTGGTAACCAAACTGATATCCATAATTCATGCTGCCACTTCCTACCATGCTGCTGCCATTGATCCCTGCTGCCTCTGTTAACCCTGCTGATGTCTATCAATGGACCTCCCATGCATTCTTATTGGTTCTAAAGCCATGTTGATGCATGTGCTCCTTGTTTCCACGGGATAACATCTTGATGGCCATGACCTCTCCTTTTCCTTAGGACCATCTTAAGGTAAGTATTGTTTGTTTTCAATGTGAAGAGTTTAAGTTTCCAAGAATTGAAATATCAGCTGAAACTAAGTTGATAATGGAATGCATGCTGCCATCTCAAACAAGTTGATGTCTTCTATCCTTGCTGTGTCTGCTAAACATTTGGATGACCATGAGCAGACCTATCATGCTATTCCTATTATTTCTGGAAGCCATGTTAATTCCAGGATTCATTCTTGCCCATGGATCTGATGTTGATGTCCATCATCTGTCCTATTACCTGAGACCATGTTGATGCAAGAGTTCTGTGTTGCCAACGTGAAGAATGTTAATTTCCCTGATCTCAGCTACCATCTAAACTATGTTACTGTCCATTCTACATACTGGCACCTGCAACCATGAGGATTTAATCGATCCCTGCTGCCTCTGTTAACCATATGGATGTCTATGGTCAGAACTAGAATGTTATTCCTACTACTTCTGGAAGCATTGCGATACTCATGATCTTCAACCAGGTTGATTTTTATGATCACTCCTGCTACTAGTCACCACCTTAAGGTTCCTTGTTACCAATGTGTAGAATGGTAATTTCCAAGAATAACCAGCTGTTGGTAACTAAGTTGATATGCATAATTCATGCTGCCACCTGCCCCCATGCTGATGTCATTGATTAGTGCTGCCTATGCAAACCCTGTTGATATTAATGAAGGGACCTCCCATGCATTCTTATTGCTTCTGCAAGCCATTTTGATGTATGTGGTCCTTTTTGCGATGGGATAACACCTTGATTGTCATGAATTCTCCACCCCTATGACCGTATTAAGGTAAGTGTTCTCTGTTGCCAATGTGAAGAATGTAATTTCCAAGAATTGAAATACCAACTGAAACTAGTGTGATATCCTGAATACATGCTGCTACCTCCACACAAGTTGATGTCATTGATCCCTGCTGACTCTGTTAATCATGTGGATGTCCATGATTGGAACTACAAAGCTATTCCTACTGCTTCTGGAAGCAGTGTTGATGCTCATGATCTTCTTACCACTGGATACCAGGTTGATTTCCATGATCTCTCCTGCTATGAGTGACCATGTTAAGGTAAGGTAAGTGTTCTTGGCAATGTGTAGAATGGTAGTTTTCAAGATTTAACAAGCATTGGTAACTAAGCAGATATCCATAATTCATGCTGCTACCTGCTACCATGCTAATGCCATTGATCCTTGTGCCTCTGTTAACCCTGTTGATGTCTATGAATGCACCTCCAATGCATTCCTATTGGTTCTGTAAGCCATGTTGATGCATGTGGTCTTTGTTACCATGAGAAATATCTTGATGGCCATGACCTCTCTGGCCCCTTATGATCATATTAAGGTAAGTGTTCTGTGTTGCCAATGTGAAGAATTCCAAGAATTGAAATATCAGCTGAAACTCAGTTGATATCCGGAATACTTGCTGCCACCTCCAAACAAGTTGCTGTCATTGATCTCTGCTGCCTCTGTTAATCATGTGAATGTCCATGAGTGGACTTACCATGCTATTCCTACTATTTTTGGAAGCCATGTTGATGCCAGGGTTGTTCTTACCCATGGATCTGATGTTGAAGTCCATCATCTGTCCTGCTACCTGAGAACATGTTGGTACAAGAGTTCTGTCTTTCCAACATGAAGAATGTTAATTTCCTTGATCTAAACTACCATTAGAATCTATGTGGCTATCCATTCTACATGCTGCTACCTGAAACCAGGTGAATTTGCCCTGCTGCCTCAGTTAACCATATGGATGTCCCGTGATCGGAACTACAAAGCTATTCCTACTACTACTGGAAGCAATGTTGATGCTCATGATCTTACCACTGGACACCAGGTGGATTTCTGTGATCTCTCCTGCTACCGGTGACCATGTTTCTTGTTCCGAATATGTAGAATGTCAATTTCCAAGATGTAACCAATCGTTGGTAACTAAGTTGATATCCATAGTTCATGCTGCCACCTGCTACCATGCTGATGCCATTGATCCCTGCTGCCTCTGTTAACCCTGTTGATGTCTATGACTGCACCTCCCATGCATTCCTAATGGTTCTGTAATCCATGTTGATATATGCGGTCCTTGTCACCATGGGATAACATCATGATTTCCATGAACTCTTTTGCCTCGTATGACCATAGTAAGTTTTCTGTGTTGCCAATGTGAACAATGTAAATTTCCAAGAATTGAAATACCAACAGAAACTAAGTTAATATCCTAAACGCATGCTGCTACCTCCAAATAAGTTGATATCATTGATCCCTGCTGCCTTTGTTCACCATATGAATGTTCATGATCAGATTATAATGCTATTCCTACTACTTCTAGAAGCAATGTTGATACTCATGATCTTCTTACCACTGGACACCAGGTTGATTTCCATGATCTCTCCTGCTACCAAGTCAAGGTAAGTGTTCCTTGTTGCCAGTGTGTAGAATGGTAATTCCCAAGATTTAACGAACCTTTGGTAACTTAGCAGATATTCATAATTCATGCTGCCACCTGCACCCATGCTGATGCCATTGATCCCTGCTGCCTCTGTTAACCCTGTTAATGTCTATGAATGGAGCTCTCATGCATTCCTATTGGTTCTAAAGCCATGTTGATGTATGTAGTCCTTGTTTCCACGGGATATTATTTTGATTGCCTTGGCCTCTCTGGCCCCTTATGACCATATTAATGTGAGTGTTCTGTGTTGCCAACATGAGGAATGTAAATTTCCAAGAACAGAAATACAAACCAAAACTAAGTTGATATCCAGAATGCATGCTGTCACCTCCAAACATGTTGATGTCATTGATCCCTGCTTCCTCTGGTAACCATTTTGATGTCCAGGATCAGACCTCCCATGTTATTTCTAGTATTTCTGGAAGCCATGTCGATGACTGTGGTCCTTCTGGCCCCTATATTCCATAAAGATTTCCTTGATATCTCTTGCCAACTTTGACAATGTTAATTAAGTGTTCTGTGCTGTCAATGTGAAGAACATAAATTTCCAAGAACTCAACATCCAACCGAAACTAAGTTGATATCCAGAATGCATGGTGCCACCTCCAAACATGTTGAAGTCATTGATCCCTCCTGCCTCTGTTAGACACATTGATGTTTATGATTGGAATTATAATGATATTCCTATCACATTTGGAATCCACGATGATGCCCATTGTTTTTGTACCAGTAGATACCATTTTGATTCCTATGATCTCTCCTCTTGTCTTTGACCTTGTTAAATTATGTATTCTGTGCTGCCAACATGAAGAATGTTAAGTTCCAAGATTTAACCATTGAAATGTTAATTTCCAAGATTTCATCAATCTTAAAAACTAATTTTATATCCATAATTCCTGGTGTCACCTGCATCCATTGTCATTCTATTGATTCCTGCTGCCTCTGTTAACCATGTTGATGTCTATGATCAGGACTTCCATGCTATTCCTATTGATTCTGGAAACCATGTTGGTGCCCATCATACCACTTGTTACCACTGTGTAACATCTTGATATGGATGACCTGTCTGGACATTTATGACTACATTAAGGTAAATGTTCTGTGTTAACAATGTGAACAATGTAAATTTGCAAGAATTAAACTACCATCTGAAACTAAGTTAATACCCATAGTTCATGCTGCTGCCTGCAGACAAATTGATGCCATTGTTCCCTGTGGCCTCTGTTAAGCATTTTGATATCCATGATTGGATAGTCCATGGTGTTCCTACTATTTCTGGGATCCGTGTCAATGCCTGTGGTCCTTCTTACTCCTCAATAGGAAGTTTATGCCCATCTTTCCTGCCATTTTATTGCCAATGAGAAAAATGTCAATTTTCAAAATTTAATCTACAATCTGAAAATAAGTTGATATCCATGATTCATGCTGCTACCCGCAACCACATTGATGTCATTGATCCCACATGCCTCTGTTAACCAAACTGATGTCCAACATAGGACCTACCATGCTATTTCTACTATTTCTGGAAGCAATGTTGATGCCTGTGGTCCTTCCTATCACTGCATACATTGTTGATTTCCAAGATCTCTCCTGCCCCTTGTGACCACATTAAAGTAAGTGTTCTGTGTTGCCAATATGCAAATTGTTAATTTCCAAGATTTAACCCACCATCCAAAAGTAAGATGAAATCCATAATTCATGATGCCTCCTGAAACCATGTTGATGTCTTTGATTCCAAGTGCCTCTGTTAATCAAATTGATGTCCATTATGGGACGGACCGACTATGCCATTCCTACTATTTCTGGAAGCCTTGTTGGTCCTTGTGGTCTTTCTTACCCGTGGATATGACATTGATGTCCATCATCTCTTCTGTCCCTGAGACCATGTTGATGCAACAGTTCTGTGTTGCCATTGTGAAGAATGTTAATTTCCGTGATCTCAGCTACCATCTGAAACTATGTTGGTATCTATAGTGCATGCTGCCACCTGTAACCTCGTTGATATCACTGCTGCCTGCTGCCTCCTTTACCATGTTGATGTCTATCATGAGCCTTACCATGCTATTCCTGTTGGTTTGAAGGCCATGTTGATGCCTTGTGGTACGTTTTGCTCCTGGATAAGATGCTGATGTTGATGGTCTGTCCTGCCACCTGAGACCATACTGAGGTAAGTTTTCTGTGTTGCCAACATGAAGAGTACTGATTTCCATGAGTTGACCTACGGTCTGAACCTAAGTTGATATCTGTAATTCATTCTGTCCCTGAACCATGTTGATATCACTGATCCTTGCTCCTTGGTTTATCATGTTGATTATCATGATGATTATCATGATCTGACCTCCCATGCTGTCCCTACTGCTTCTGGAAGCTGTGTTGATGCCTGTGGTCCTTGGTATCCCTGGATATGATGTTGATGTCGATGTTCTGACTCCTGAATCCATGCTGAGGTAAATGTTTTTTGTTGCCGATGTACAGTATGTTCTTCTCCTTGATCTAACCTACTATCCAAAACTAAGTTGTACTTCATCACCCATGCTTCTGCAGGCCACCATATTGATGTCACTGATCCTTGCTGCATGTTTTAACTATGGTGATATCCATGATCCAACCCTCCATTCAAAACTTTGGTGATGTCATGGATCCTTCCATTTCTGGTAAGCATGTTGATGTCCCTGTAAAATGTGCCACCAGAGGCTACGCTGTCACTGGTGACCATGTTGATACATCTAGTCTCTCTTTGTGCTGGACACCATGTCATTTCCATGCTCCTCCTCATTCTGTAAGTTACATTGATACTCTTTGTCTTTGCTGCCACTAGAGACCATGTGGTTGTCCTTGTTCCATACCGATACCAGTGACCATGCTGCTGTCCCTGATCTGTGCTGCCTCTGTTAACCATGTTGTTGTCTGGGATTTGATCTGCCCTACCCCCCAAAGCTATGTTGATATCACTGATTTGTACTGCCACTGGCAAACATTTTGATGTCTTTGAACCTTGCTGCCTGTTAGCTATGTTGCTGCCCATGATCTGCCCTACCACTCAATCCCTGCTGTTTCCTGAAGCCATGGTGATGCCTGTGGTCCTTGTTGCCCCTAGATATGATTTTGATGTCCATGTTCTGTCCTTCCACCTGAGACCACATCGAGGTAAGTATTCTGTGCTGCCAACATGAATAATGTTGATTTCCTTGATCCCACATGCCACCCACAACTAATTTAATACTCTTGATGCATGCCGCTGCAGGAAATCATGTTGATGTCACTGTTCCTTGCCTCATCTTCTAACCATGTTGATGTTCATCATCCAACCTACCGTCCAAAACTTTGTTGATGTTACTGATCTATGTTGTAGCTGTCAACTATGTTGAGGTTACTGAACTTTGCTACCACCTGTAACCATGTTGATGTCTGCAGTGTACAGTGCTATCAGAAACAATGTTGAAGTCATTCATCCATACTACTACCTGAGACCCAGTTCAAGTAAGTTTCCTGTGTCACCCATGTGTACAATATTGATTTCCATGATCTATCTGCCACCTGAAACTAAGTTGATATCCCTGATTTGTACTGACATAGGCAACCATGTTGATGTGACTGATTCTCACTGTCTCTCTTAACCTTGCTGGTATCCATGATTCGAACTACCATCTGAAACTTTGTTGATGTCACTGATCTGTGTGTTGGATGTTACTGAACCTTGCTACCACTTGTAGCCATACTGCTGTCTGTAGTCTGTAATCATCTGAGACAATGCTGAAATCAGTGGTGCATGCTACCACCTGAGACCCAGTTCACATAAGAGTCCTGTGCTGACAATGCGTACGATGTTGATTTCTGTGATCAGTCTGCCACCGGAAACTAAGTTGATGTACATGATCTGCCACAGTCTACCAACCATGTTGATGTCACTGATCCCTGTTGCCTGTGTTAACGATGTTGATGTTCATTATCTGACTTAACATCTGAAATTACGTTGATGTCACTCATCCATGCTGCCGTTTGTAACCATGTTTATGGTCATAGTCTGTATTGGAATCTTAGACCTTGTGGATGTCCATGGTCCACGTGGCCACCTGAATCCATAATGATGACAATGATGACTGTAGTCTGTGCTGCTGCCAGCCATCATGTTGATGTCTGTGATCTGTGCTGCTGCTGGGACTAGGTCGATATGCATGATCAAAGCTGCCAACAGAAATCATTTTGATGTCGTTAAGCCATCCTGGTGCTGGAGACAATGTTGACATCTGTGTTCTGTGCTGCCACCAAAAAACCATGCTGATGTTCATGGTCTGGGCTGCATGGTGAAGACCAGTTGGATATCCATGACTCAGATTCTGATGGAGACTGTGTTGTCATCTGTGGTCAGTACTGCCACAAGAAGGCATCCTGGTGTTAGTGATCAGTGATGCCACCTGCAAACACGTTATGTTGGTGATCTGTGTTGAAGTTAGAGACCAGATGGATGTCAGTTATCCAAGCTGTCACCAGAAATCTTGAGGACCTTGATCTATGCTGCTGCTGGAAAGCATGTGGAAGTCTATGATCCATTCTGCTGCTGGAAACCATGTGGAAGTCCGTGATCTGTACTGCCACTGATATTCTTGTCAAAGAAGCTTCTTTTGTAGTAGTATCCATGACTGCAGAATCTTAACTGGAAATGACAGACATCGAAGGCTTCTGTGCCACCATCTCCAAAAGAAACACTCTAGACAGGACCTTTCTGAAGAGTGTCCTTGAAAATTGTAATAAAGATGCTTAACTGTAGCTCTTCACATTTCATGGCTTCAGGTGCAGGTTTGGGGAAGGACTCCTTTTTTAAGTGGCTGGCCACTGCAAGTTTGACCATGCTCCAATGAGTATATGGGCAACACATATTTGACTTGTAGTGTATTTTTTCTGTTCTGGGGGAGAATGGCACAAGGGTGTGGGTGGACCAGGGAGGAATATGAAGCAAGTGTGATCAAGGTATATTGTATGAAATTTTCAAATAATTAATAATAATATTTTGGGAAAATAAAAAAATGCATCAAATAGTATGTATGTTAAATTTGGCCTACAGCTGATTCCTGACGTGAACTATGTGACTTGAACCACAGCCTAACTGTCTAGCCATTGTTCTAGTGCTGTAAAGAGACACCATGATCAGGGAAGCCATCACAAGAGAAAGCATTTAATCAGGGGCTTGTTTTCAGTGTCAGAGGTTTAGCCCATCATCATCGTGGCACAAAGCATGGTGGCATGCCGGCAGACTCTGGAACAGTAGTTGAAACTACATGCTAACCCATACATAGGCAGAGAGAGAAAAGACTTTGGACTTGGCATGGACTTTTGAAAACCCCCAGTGACGCATTTCCTCCTGCAAGGCCCTGCTGCCTACTCCTTATAATCCTCTCAATAATGCCACTCCTTGATAACTAAGCATTCAAGTATATGAGCCTATGAGCCTATGGGGGATATTCTTACTGAAACCACCACATTATCTTAACGAGTACCTTTTAAAATATTTTTTATTCTTGAAGAGCTTATACATTTAGACAATATATTTTGATTACATCCATTGACCGGTTCATCCCTTCAACTCCCTTTAGAGGTCCCCAGTGCCATCTTCTCAACTTCATGCATTCTGTTTTTGTTATTACTAATCCTCGGAGTCCACTTAGTGGTGCCCATGTGCCCATGTTTGTGAGTCCACCTACTGGAGCATGCACAGCCTACCAGCGGCCATTTCTCCAAAAGGAGTGACTTCTCCTTGAATGACCTCTACCTACCTTAATGTAATGAACCTACATTAAACTGCTACACAAATTTTCTGTTCAGTTGTATTTAAACTGAAATTGCCTGTCAGGTTATTTGCTTCATTTTGTCTTTTGTTGCCTCAAATATTCTTCAGTCTTTGAAAGCGCTGAAAGACTTGCAGATGTGCCATTGGTTTGTATTGGTTATCTTTTAATCTGAGTTAAAGGTCAGTAGTTAGACTTCTGTAAACTGAAAGTTTATCTTTGAAAGGTTGCTACCTGGTGTTCCAGTCTGCATAAAGTGTGTTCATGGCATATTTATTGAATGAATTAGTCACATGGTGCCATAATTTTCTTAGAAATGTACAGAGGCAAAAGACCAAGTTGTTGGTTGTTATTTTACTCTTTGGGTCCTTTAGCTCTTTTAGGGGTCCACCACCCAGCTACCAAATAAATCATACACAGGGAGGCTTAATTCTTACTTATAAATGCCCAGCCTTAGCTTGGCTTGTTTCTAGCCAGCTTTCCTTAAATTATCCCATCTACCTTTTGCCTCTGTGCTTTTTCCTTTTCTTACTCCTGTATATCTTACTATCATTCTTACTCTGTGGCTGACTGGGTGGCTGGCCCCTTTTCTCACTCCTCTCTTTTTCTCCTATTTATTCTTTCTGCCTGCCAGCCCTGCCTGTCCTTTCTCCTGCCTTGCTATTGGATGTTCAGCTCTTTATTAGACCAATCAGGTATTTTAGACAGGCACAGTAACACAGCTTGACAGAGTTAAACAAATGCAACATAAAGGAATGCAACACATCTTTGCATCATTAAACAAATGTTCCACAGCTTAAACAAATGTAACACATCTTAAAATAATCTGCAACAGATCTATTTGTGGAGGACAGAAAACGTAGAACAGAGCACTCACTGTGCATGTGCCTGTAACTCTAGCCCTGGAAGGTTAGAGGCTAAAGGGTCAGGAGTCAAGGCTAGCCTGGGCTACATGAGACCATCTCAGAAATCAGGCATGGGGAGGGAGGGAGGAAGGAAAAGGGAAAGAAATGTAGAACTGCTCTATACAAAATGAAAATATATTCCTCATTGATTGCTGAAACCGATGAGTAATTTTTACGTTAGCCGGGCGGTGATGGCTCACGCCTTTAATCCTAGCACTTGGGAGGCAGAGCCAGGTGGATCTTTGTGAGTTTGAGGCCAGCTTGGGCTACAGAGCGAGATCCAGGAAAGGCACAAAGCTACACAGAGAAACCCTGTCTCGAAAAAACAAACAAACAAAAAAACAAAAACCCAAAACCCAAAAAAACTAGGGTGTTTACATATTTGGCTTAAATCCTTTTTTTAAAAAAAGAAAATATTTTTTTTTAATTTTACATTCTGGCTACAGTTTCCCCTCCCTTCTCTCCTCCCAGTCCCTCCCTCCTTTCCCTTTTTGTTCCCATCCCTAATCCCCTCCTCTGTTTCTATTTAGGAAAGGGCAGGTCTCCTATGAGTATCAACAAAATATGGCATATCAAGTTGCAGTAAGACTAAGCACCTCCCCATGTATTTAGGCTGGACAAGGCGACCCAGTGTGAGGAGTAGGGTTCCAAAAGCCAGAAAAAGAGTTGGAGACAGCCCCTGCTCCCACTGTTAGGAGTCCCACAAAAGGACCAAGCTCCACACCTAACATCTTTGCAGAGTTTCTAGGTCAGTCTCATGCAGGCTCCCTGGTTGTCCACATTCAGTCTCTGAGCCCCTATGAGCCCAGGCTAGTTGATTCTGTGAGTTTTCTTGTAGTGTCCTTGACCCCTCTGGCTCCTACAATCCTTTCTCCTCCTCCTCCTCCTCCTCCTCCTCCTCCTCCTCCCTCCTCTACAGGATTCCCAAACTCTACCTACTGTCTGGCTGAAGGTCTGCATCTGTCTGTCAGTTGCTGGATGATGCCTCTCTCGTGACAATTGGACTGGGCACCAGTCTGGTCACAGGAGATGGCCAGTTGAGGCTGTGTATCTGCTATCGCTAGGAGTTGAAGGTGGGGTCTTCCTTGTAGATTCCTGGGGATTCCCTGGAACTAGGTTTTTACCTGACCCTGAAATGCCACCCCTTCCCAGTAGTCTATCAGTACTCTCATCCTCTGCCACTCCCTCCTCCACCAACCAACCTGATTGCCCATGTTCCCATCCGGATTTTTTTTTTAATGTAACTAAATTAAATCCTGCAAGAAATTTGAAGGGACCTGTAATAAGAAGCAAGCTATGGTAAGAATCTGAAATAAAGAACAGGGACAAAGGGATGTGGAGACAATTTGAAATCAAGATCATTTTCTCGTTTTCTAGTGCTGCATGATAAATAGCCCCCGCCCCCCATGTTCCTCCCAGGGCTCCGGGGTTGGCTGAGCTCACCTGGACCTCATCTATGCAGTCAGAGGGTGAGCCAAGGTGCAAGAAGAGAACTCAGGCCTCACTGCTCAATGGGAAGAGTGTTGATGTCACATTGTAAGAACAGTGTGTGGAGTGGATATGTAGAGGCAGCCGTCTTTGGAAATATAGTCTGCTACCCCACAAGGAGGACAAGAAAACAAATGTGCCCCCTCCTCGGCTGGGTTTTTGTAAAGTTTCCTGTAAACCTGCCTCCCACAAGCACACGCCCTCGGGAACCTTATCAACCTTATTTTTCTCGAGCTTGCGTGAGCCATTTTTGTCTTCAAAGCAGTAGGCATTCAATAATTGAGCATCCTTGAACTGCTGCAGCCCAAAGAGCTATTTACTCACAGGACACAGGAAAGAGATGTCACCATATCCATGTTTCAAACGGAAAGGACTGGGTCTAACGAATGCAATTTAAGCATGATCAGAATTTGCTCATTCTCCCCAAAAAGGGATATATGCAACTTCTGTTTGCTGGCATCAGAGAAAATAAGGTTTGCATTCAGTCTTGCCTGTGAATGGGAATATGGACTTGTCTGTAGCTGAGCTTTGACCACAGTTAACAACAGTGCCTTGGGGAATGCAAAGTCCAGGAATGAGGGAAGGAACTTGGATCCCTGCATGACCGAGCAGAGTCATTCCAACCCCCTGGACTCTACACTCCAGACTTTCGTGAGGGTGACGTTGACTGCCATTATTTATCCCTGCCTCCCGGAGCCTCTTTGTTACAGCAGTTCCACATTTATGCCAGCAAAAGACTCCGCCGTGGCTGCATGAATAACTCTGCATTTTTGAAAGAGCAAAACAACTATCCATCTAGCTTCAGACTGTGTGAACTTTTTTCAATACTTAGTTTTTTCCAAGATGCTTTGCTTTGGGGGTTTGGGGGACCGGGTTGTAAAATACATTTTAATGAAAACACTTCAAGTTAAAATGGCTTACAGGTTTTGATCAGAAGCTGCTGTGGTATCGAGCTTGTGCCTGCTCCACACACTTCAGATGCCGTGATGCTGCCACTTTCTAGACATGCTTTGGAGGCAGCAAAAACATATTCTCCTCTATTGAAAGTTTTGTGGCAGCTCCAGGGGCACCCTCCCCGTGTGTGTGTGTGGCGGGGGGGGGGGGGGGGGGGGGGGGGCGGTTCCTGTGGAAACCAGAGACATCAGATTCCCTTGGAGATGGGGTTGTAGATTGTCAACACTCGATGACAATGACTGATGTGGGTGCTGGAGACTGAATTTGAACTCAGGTCCTCTACAAGAGCAGTTTACCTTTAATTAGTGAGCCATCCCTTTAGCGCCTGGCCTGGCTCCTTAGCAAGTGTTGAACCATTTTGAGTTTCGTACTCCCTGGAGGGATGGATACCCTTAGGGAACCAAGGAATGTGTGCTTTTTCTAATCCTAGCATCTTCGTTTTGCCTTTTTCCAGTAGAGACATCTGTGGGGGCTTCTTGTTCTGATCAGAGTGTGGATTGGGGAGGTGATGCGGATCCTGATCCTGTTCCTCACGGCCTCCTCCCTCCTTTCTTCCCCCATGAGAAATGAGCCCGGGATTGGCCCTTAGTAGGGCCTTTTCCTCCTAGCCACCCTGTCCACCGGAAAGGAAGCAGCCCTCACCACAAAGAAATTTGGGGATAAGAAGGAGCTCAGAAAACTCCCTCTCTCTCTCCTCTCTCTCTCTCTCTCTCTCTCTCTCTCTCTCTCTCTCTCTCTCTCTCTCTCTCTCTCTCACACACACACACACACACGTATGTGTATACAATATCATTAATTTTTGAGAATTAAAATTTGAGAATTTCATACAGTCTTTTTTTTTATTTTTTATTTTATTTTTATTTTTATTTTGCAATACAATTCAGTTCTACATATCAGCCACGGATTCCC